AGTGGAGTGTACTGGGGGAGGGCGGATTGTATACCAATGAAAGAATTTTCCTTTTACTTTTCAAAGAGAAGAGAGAACTAGGGGGGAGGGGTGGGCAGGGAGAAAAATGCAACAATCAATGAATGGAAATCCAAAGTTTGAGTAAACATTCATTAAAATGAATAATATTTTTTTTAAAAAAGATGATTCAACAGAGTGGGGTAATTCTCACAGTCTCATTGTATAACACGCAAATAAAATCTTGCGGTTGTTACTGTTGTGTATGTGCTATCGAGTTCACTACCACTGATAGGGACCCTGTGCACAAAAATTCTGAACCTTCCCCTGTCCTGAGCCAGTCTGTCTCTGACACGCCTACCCTCATTACTCCAGTTACTGTGTCAATCCATCTCATGTGGGGTCTTCCTCTCCTGCGCTGTCCCTCCTTCCTTCCGAGCATGATGTCCTTCTCCAAGGACTGAACACCAAAACAATCTAGTAAAGAAAATGGATGGGGAAACTAATGAGCACCTCTCACAGAAGATAGATGAATGGCTGAAAGCTTATTAAAAGAATGTTCAATGCACCATTAGTTGTTAGGGAAATAGAATGAAAGTCAGATGAAATGCCACTTCATGACCATTAATCTGGCTAAAATGAAAAAGAGAGGCACCACCAAATATTGGGGAAGATATATAACAGAACTCGGATACTTTGCAAATAAAGCTTTAAAATTATACTATCGCTTTAGGAGAAGTTATTTCATATTAAACTAAATGTACACTTACCTATGGCCCAGCAGTTCCACCCTTTGCTCCTTATTACCAAAGAGAAGTAAAATCATGAACACAAAAAAAGGCTAACCAAGAATGTTCATAAGTATTTATTACTAATAGCCCAAGTGATAAACAACCCAATGGTTATCAAAAGAAAGAAAGATAACCACATTGTAGTTACTCAGACCACATGTTATTAAAGGAACAAAGAACACCTACATAGATGAATCTCAGAAATATGCTGAGAGAGAAAAGCATAGAATAATGCATGCTGTATGAATATAACACATGAAGTTTTAGAATATGAATGACTGTTGGGAAAGAAAGAGAAATCAGTGTTTACTTGAGTGAAAAACAGGGAATTGACTCTGAAGAGATATGGGAGCTTTCTGGGGTGATAGAAATGTTCTGTTTTTGGATGAGGGGAGTGTGTGTGTGAGAGGTAGGGAGAGAACTCATTGAACTGTAACACTTTGATTCTGATTATTTTACTGTACATAAATTAGAACTCAATAAAATATATACGAACCAAAAAAGAAAATGAATTCTCATCTCAGTGAACATGACACAGATAAATGTAAAGCTTATTATTCAGTGAAAAGGCAATCTATAGAAAGAATACATACTGTATGATGTCATTTAAGGTCAGAAAGCAAGTATGTATATTATTGATATGTGAGTTGCTGGATTATGTTGTTGTTGTTAAGTGCTGTTGAGTCATAGACGACTCATAGCGACCCTATGAAAGAAAGACTTGAACACTTGTATAATTTTCATCATTTCTTCAAGTTCATAGAGTTTCAGGGGGAAAGCTATTTCGGAAGTGGATGCCACTCCTGCTTCCAAGCTTGTTTTAATAGGGAGCTCCACTAAACATTGTCCGCCAAGGGTAACCATTATCACATTTGACACATCAATGTCACAGTATTTAGCATCACAGCAACCACGAGTTATCTTTGTACAGCATGTGAACACACCAGGGCTATATGACCTAGAATGTTTGACCAAAAACAATGAAAACCAGGCCTGAGGGCTGCCGATTAAAATCACCCACCTTTGCTTAGTAGCATCACTTTCTATCCACTAGGCCAACAGAGCTCTCTCTATGTTGTTGTTGTTAAAGTACTGTTGAGTCATAGAGGTCTCATAGCAACAAAAGACCTGAACACTTGTATAACTCTTATGTTTCTCCAATGATGTATGAGTAACAGGTAAATGTTTTTTCAACTGCTTGTGAGTCATACCAAAACTATTTAAGATAGTGATTATTCCTGGGAATGGAGGCAGGAGGAGAAGAAGGAGAAATGAAAATGAGGGAGAGGAGTTGGCTTGAGCTGCATTTGTAACTGTCAGGAGAGACACATTGAGAGAGGTCAAGTGCAAGCACAGTAAGTGATTTCCCATCAGCGGCCTCAGTTAACATGGTTTCGGTCCTCTCTGGCTTTAGGTGAACATCAGCACCCAGGAGCTTTGGGAGGAAGTGCTCAGCGCCAAAGGACTAACTGGTAATTCAAAATCATTTTTCCAATCCATTCTTTTTAACAATCTTCAATGACAGATTGAACCATTTAAAGATGGCCTGTATTGAGCACCATGTTCCTGTAACCTTAAGTTGTAAAAATAGAGAATAAAAATCCAGGTGATTTCTTTTGAGAGAGAGAGAGAGAGAGAGAGTGTGTGTTGAATATCTGTCAGTTAAGTTCAGTACCCTAATTGATATTCTCAAATAACTAGGCTCCCTGGTTTCAGAGCTGCTGGTGATACTCAAGGAATGTTAGGTATTAAGCACCAGAACCGTCTTCGAGTGACCTTAGGCACAGAAGGGGAAGGCACTGGCAGGAGTACTGGGCTCTTTTAGAACTCAAGGGCTGGAAGGAGAGCCTGCACGGAGGTACTAGAAGCAGAAAGTGTGAGGTCACGAGCAGTGTCTGGGAGCTGCCTTGTCCCTGTCTTCCTTGGTTAACTTTCTGTTACTTTACAACATTGGCCCCAACACACAGTGGCTTAAAGCAGTGAATCTCCACGCCCGCCCCCGCCCCGTACCCTGCACCTTCAGGAATCTAAGTGTCCTTTGTTAGGTGCCCCTGCCCCAGGCTCCACCAGGGGCAGGTCTGCTTCAAAGGCAGGCCTCCGCAGCTCATGTCCAAGGTCACTCACATGACCGTTGGCAGGCTTCACATCCTCACTGAATGGTGGCCAGAGATGTGAATTTCTTGCCCTCAGTTTCTCAAGCTGACAACTTACAAGATAATTGTTAGCATCCACTTCCTAAACAACATGTCTCCAGAAACTCTACGGAGTTTGATAAATGTCGATAGTTGTAGAGGGGCTTCAGGCCTTTTGTTCATAGGGTCGCTATGAGTCATGCTCAACTCGAAGGCAATCGACAACAACAACTGCAGAGCAAAGGGGGACAAGGGAGAGAGAGAGAGACTCCGACTTAATCTGGAACATGATGTTCCACCACTTTCACTATATTCTATTTCTTAGAAACCGGTCCTTAGGCACAGCCCAGAATCCAGACTACACAAAGGCTAATTAGTACCAAAGAGTGGGGAATTGCTGGAGATGATAATTTTAGGAGAGCTCTCTCGCTCTCTCTCTCCCTCTCTACCTCCTTCCCTCCCTCTCTTCTCTCTCTCTCTCACACACACCCCTCCCCTTTCTTGCCTTCTCTTTCATTCATGCTAGACATCCCTGAATGTTTCTGTTCAGGTATTGAGATTTATCCGGGAGAGGGTGAAACCAGGCTTCTCCTTGGAGGCAAGGATTCTGAAGCTCCGTCTGACATATTTTGGACATGTCGCAATGAGGGATCAGTCCTTGAGGAGGGACGTCATGCTCAGAAGGGTGGAGGGACAGCGCAGGAGAGGAAGATCCTGGATGAGATGGGTTGATTCAGTGATCGAATGGGTTAGCACAGGATAGAGCAGGGCTCAGAGCTGGTACAGGGTACATAGCGTCGCTGTAAGTCGCAGACTTGACAGCACCTAACAACATCATATATACTCTTGCTCACACTGCTTGTAACTTGTCTGATCACTCTTCATTGCCACTTCTCCACTGAATAACTTCTCAACTCCGTCGCCCTCCCCATGACAAACTGAGTTTGTCTTTCCAGAGCCTTTACTGCTGTTGTTGCCTGAGATGTGTGCTGAGCTCCAACCCTCTGATGTCATAGTTGTTGTTCATTTCTGTAGAGTTGACAACACAGAGACCCTGTGAAGAATAAGTCTGAGCCTTCCCCTCACGTGCTCCCTCTCTGTGATCTTCATCCTGCCTGAGCCCACTCTAGCGGCCCCTGTGTCCGTCCTTCTCATTGAAGATCTCCCTCTTTCCCCGGAGAAATGCTTATTCTCAAGCCCAGCTCAAAGGCAGCCTCCTGGAATGAAGTCTTCCCAGAGCTTCTGGGTGGACACTTCTGCCGGAAATCTCCTCGTGTATTTGGGGTGAGACTCTGTCATCTCAAACCACTCCCGACACACCCCCTCTTGGTGTCCCCACCTGGGTGGATGCCACCAAGGCTTCTCCCTACACCATCCACACAGGGGTGTTGATGTTTGCATTTCTCCTCACGCGTTTATTAGTCCAGGCCTGGAACCATGTGGTACTAAATAAAGATTAGCTGCATTCATCATTGTGTGGGTGGGAATATTGCTAAAATCTACTGCTGTTTGAGGGGTTACAAAGCTTTTTGGATAATGTCAAGTCTTATTTTTTTATTTTATTTATTAGAATGTTTTATTGAGAGTCAGAAGTTCAATTTATTGGCACACAAGCTAAGTAAGACAGGCCAGTGCTAACCAAGGTTCATGAATGCAGGGCCCGTCACTTGTCCAAGGGGCCACGATTGGGGATGGATTTCACTCCACAACCATCTAGAATGAGGCACCTTTGAGCCACCATATTTTCAAACTCATCGGCATTGAACTTTATAAAGCCCCACTTCTTAGAGATATGAATCTTCTGGTGCCCAGGGAACTTAAATTTGGCTCTGCGGAGGGCCTCAGTCACATGCTCCTTGTTCTAAAGCTTGGTATGAATCGACATAATGACCTGGCCAATGTGGACCCTGGCCACTGTACCCTGGGGTTTTCCAAAGGCATCTCACATACCTGTCTGGAGCCTAAATGAGGACAAGGCATGTGTAACATCAGAAGCATGAATGGAAGTGCAGCCAAGAGTTGTCTCCAAGGACCCTTAGGGCAACCCATACATGCAACAGGCTGCATATATTACCAAGGAGTTGCTGTTCGCAGCCATTGCACACCAGCCCCCACAGAAAAGGAGGACTGGTGGCTTAATTAGCTGCCAGAAGTCTTACATTTTTATTTATTTTTTCTTATTTTCTGTGCAACAGAACATGGCTCCAACACACATACACACTCACACATTCATGCTCAGCTTGCCGCTCACTGTCTCTCTGCGAAACTATGCCACCTAGCAGAATCAATCAGCATTCCCGTATTTGCGCACTTGGCTTCTTCCCTGGGCCCTACAGTTTCTAAGTCAATTACTTCACCACTTCAAGTTTCATTGTCCTCATCCATATGGAAGGATAACATAAGCTTCTTCCTGGGCTTTTTTGGAAGGAAATAAACTGCTTTTGCAGCTTCATAGAGATTGTTGATGTTGTTGGGTATCTTCGAGTCGGAACCATGCTGACCTTCTGGTGGGTTTTCAGAGGCAGTTAATCACGTGGAGTTAATACTGTGGAGCAGCTGGTGGATTTGAACCACCTGCCTTTGGGTTGGTAGTGCAGCTTCTCAGGGTAGAACTCCTCCAGCCCACATTCCACACTCCTTTTGTGACCTTTGCCCCTGCTTCCCACAGCACAATCCCAGGCACATCTGTGGTCTTGGGACCCCCTGAGCCCCTCACCTATTTGGCTGCCCGAGTGACCCCCTCTGTGCCTCCCAGACAAGCCTGGTTTTTCTCCCCAAGCCCAATGACAATCTCCCCTACACTGGGAAGCCTTCCTTCCCTCTAATCCAGCACAGTGTTGATACAACCTTGACACAATCTAGGCTAATTTTAATAAGGGTCATTTGTGTAATACTGTACTAATAGCTCTCATTTGATATGCAAGTTTTGAAATGTTAAGTCCTCCAAGAATAAAATTGCAAGTTATATGCTATTATGTTGTTGTTGTTGTTGTTAAGTGCCATCGAGTCGTAGACGACTCATAGCGACCCTATGAACGAAAGTCCTCAACACTTGCGTGACTTTCATCCTTTCTCCAGGTTCATAGAGTTTTGAGGACTTTCGTTCATAGGGTCGCTATGAGTCGCTTACAACTCAATGTCACTTAACAACTTAGAGAGAGACCAGTTGGCCTAGTGGACAGAAAGTGATGCCAAAGGTGGCTGACTCTAATCCACAGCTTCAGGCCTGTTTTTTAATTGTTTTTGGTCAAACATTCTTTTAGGTCATATAACCCTGCTGTGTCCACTTGCCGTACAAAGGTAACTTGTGGTTGCTGTGAAGCTGTACACTGTGACACTTGTCTTTTTAAAGAAGATGTTAGTGCAATTTCCCATCAGTCAGTAGACTTGCAGAGATCCATACACTGAGATGGTTTTATACTATACTGAACACATCAAGAAGGAAAAAGGGTCTCAGAGTAAGCACTAGACCATGATGCTCACACATAGACCAGGATGAGGAAACTGCAAAGCTGGCGAAGAAGCACCAAATCAGTCCCCCACCCAGTGGGATATCTACATGTGCACTTCCTGTTTTCAGCGATCCTCACACGTGTGTAAGTAAAATTGTGCTCCACAGGGCTCCCAACAGCTGATTTTACCCATGGTGGACAGTGTTGGCTGGAGCTCCCAAGCTTGGAAGCAGGAGTGGCATCCACTTCGGCAAGGATGGTACAGATAGGACAGGGTTCAAATCGACTGTCCGTAGAGTCACTATGAGTTGTACTTGACAGCACCTAACAACAACAATAATAATTAAAACCGTGTTGTCTATGCTTTCTTCCCATGACCATGCCGCACTAGCGGCTAAGGAGCTATGCCTACGATGTTCTGCGTGGATTAGGAATGGCCTCCCCTCCTTTGGGCATATTGTTAGGAGAGGCTACTCCTTAGAAAAGGACATTGTGCTTGGGAAGGTGGAGGGTCAGCAAAGGACAAGAAGACCCTCAGTGAGTTGGATTGACACAGTGACTTCCACAGTGGGCTCGAACGTGGCAAAGACTGTGAGGATGGCACGGAATAGGACAGAGTTCAGATCTGTTGTTTGTAGGATCGCTGTAAGTTGTGCTTAACTTGATGGCACCTAACAACAACTGTGAGTATTTGGAAGACATCTGTCCTCTACAGTGTGGTCAGCTGTGTTGTCACCATCCTAGCATGGGTTGTCCCATGATGCTGTCATTTCTCTGATGGGCTGAACTGTCCCTGTATCTACCAGATACATATGAGAACTTGCTTACAAGTCTCACAACTTACCTACAGTCACAGGAGAGGTTTTTCTCTCACCCAACTCTACCACACTCAATAGATTGAAACCAAAGAATAAAAATCCATCCAAGATTCCATAGAGCTATCCACCAGGTTCTTTGTAGGAGAAAAGAAAAGATTGATCTATAGCATAAAATTCTGCTTTCCCCAAATCAAATGACATTTCATTCATTGGGGCAAATGTTTGTCAGCAGAGAACAACATATGGATGCCAAGTGTGACCTCTGTGACATTCACAAAAGGAGACAGTCCCAGCCACAGCATCCACATTACAAATCCAGTTTCCATAATGTCAGGCTTGGTCTCCCACATCTTCTATTCCCAACATCAACCTTACTGCTCTCCTTCTGGGTCTGAAATTCATGGTCTGATCATTTATGTAATACTGTACTAATAGCTCTCATTTGATAGACAAGTTTTGAAATGTAAGTCCTCCAAGAATAAAACTGCTAGTTGTATGCTACTATGTTGTTGCTGTTGTTAAGTGCTGATGAGTCGTAGGCGACTTATAGCGACCCAATGAATGCAAGTCCTCAACACTTGCATGACTTTCATCCTGTCTCCAGGTTTCTAGGACTTTCATTCATAGGGTTGTTATGAGTTGCCTATGACTCGATGGCACTTAACAATATAGAGACCAGTTAGCCTAGTGGACAGAAAGTGATGCTCCAAGCCAAAGGTGGGTAACTCACACTAATCTCAAAGAACCATTCTCATGGTTATCAGGTTTACTAGGGAAGTAAACAGGTTACAATTCAGGGGAGCAGCAGAATTTAATTCCTCAGTCAATACAGCTTCTCACGCATGCTCGCAGGACAGCTTAGGTCAGTGTTGCAAACCTCTGTTCTCTTAGTCCTGTAACTTATGGCCTCTTGCCCCCCACCCCGTGTCCTCCTACAAGCTTGGGCAGAGGCCCCTGGCTCTGGCTCTAGGGGGCCCCTCGTCAGCCCTGCCTCATGTCTGTGTGTCCCTCTCTCCTGGTGCTGCTGCTTCTCTCCTGCAGGTCCTGGTCTGACGGGCATAGGAAGCTCTAGCGCTGAAGGATGTGTTTGTTCCTTGATAGTGAGATGCCCAGTCATCTATTGCTAAGCCTGCTTAACTGAAACCTGATGGGATGGAAGAACTGGCCACTCCTATAACAAACTGTTTAAACAAACATTAGTTCATGTTCCCTCCCACAGAGTGAAATGCAAAGTTAATGGCTAGAAAAGCCGTTTTGACAATAAACCTATGTTCCTACAATGCTTTATATAATTAGAGTAGGTAAGTGTCCATTGTTTGCTGACAGGTCACCTACACTGACTCCTTTCTATTGGAAAAATTGTTTTTGTTGCTCTACGCTAGGCCTGACTCTAAATGTAATCCCCAAAATTAAAAAAAAAATTATTACGGTTTAAGTGAAAGTTTACAAAGTGTATTAGTTTCCTGCTCAAGAATTTATACACAGATTGTCTCATGGTTGGAACCCCCTCCATGTGTCCGCCTGTTCCCACTTCCAGCTGGGTTCTTGTTTCCCTTCTCAGAGCTTTCCGGCCACCACGGTGCCTTCTGAAGTTTGCTTTGGGGCAAATGCTTTTCTTTTTGATCTCAGAGTTGGATGCTTTGAGGAGCATGTTCCTCAAAGGTGTTATGGTCTCTTTACGTTGCTGCTGCTGTTCTATCCTGTTGGGTCAGAACCAAGTCATAGGTGGCCCTGCAGCGTGTTTTCAGAGGCAGTAAATCGCATGGGAGGACACTGCCCATCTTTCTCCTGGGGAGCAGCTGGATTCCAACCAAGAGCCTTTGAGTTGGCAGCGCAGCTCCTTACCATTGGGCCTCCAGCACACTCTCATTTCCTTTTCAGGATTCCCTTTTCCTTTGCTGTAATGTGACCTCCAACAGGGATTCTCAGTTGGAGAGGGTGTCTAAGGGCTCAGGGTTTCCATCAGTCTCTATCAAACCATCAAGTCTGGTCTTTTTTTGTTAATGCGAATGTTCTTCTACCTCTTTCTTTCACTCTGTCTGGGACCTTCTTTTGTGATCTCAGTCAAACTGGTTGGTGGCAGTCAACCATCTAGATCTTCCGGTCTTGGGCCTGTGGAAGCTGTGGGCCACGTGGCCTAATAGTCTGAAAATTCTTAAGGTAGAGAATACAATTTAAAAAAAAATTTGTTTATGTGTGTGTACCGTCAAATTGGATCTGACTGGTACAGGAGGAGATTGTCCCTCCTTCTTCCACGGAGCAGCTGGTGGATTTGAACCATGCACCTCTGAGATTGCAGTGCAGCTTCTTGAATAATACATTTAAAAATAATCTTCCCTGCTATTGTTGTTGTGTTACTGTATACGAGAGTTGGAACCAACCCTAACTGACCCTCCAGTGGGTTTTCAGAGGCAGTTAATTGCACAGGTTAATTGGCCATCCTTCTCCTGCAAAGGAGCTGGTGGATTTGAACCACGTGCCTTTGGGATTGCAGCACAGCTTCTTGCCTCTAGGCCACCAGAGATCCCTGCTATCCTTAATTCTGTGCAATACTTAACTTTCCTGCCATCCTTAATTAATTTTTAAAGATATTTTCTTATTGTAGTGAAAATAGAAAAAGAACCAAAGCTAAGCACCAATTCAAAAATTTCTACTTCTATAACTCAGTCATGTTGGTTACATTTTTCAAGTGATATATCCATTGTCACAGTCTTTTTTCCAAATTATCCCACTATCATTAATATAAGTTCACTGCACCCCTATACAAAAAAATTCCCCTCTGAAATGGAAAGAATTTGTTAGAATTGTATTGGAAGTTTGTAAATAAACTAGTAAAAAAAAAAGTGAACTGAAGGAATGGGAAGGGAGAGGGGATAAAATATGCAACAATGAATGAATGAAAATATAACTTTTCTTAAAATCACAATTAAAATAAAAAATTTATTAAAAAAAAAATTCTCCTCTCCTCTTCCCACTGTTGCCCAGTTGAAGGTTCCTATTTCTTGATCCTTCACAGTTGTTGACGTGTATCAGGGCTGGTGTGGACCCTGCAAACCTGTTCTGAGCCTCTTCCAGAAGATGAGGGTTGAGGCTGGCCCGGAGCGCCTGCATTTCGCAACAGTAAGATTATATCACAGCAAAAAAATTACACAACACTGGACAAAAATAGAAAATTTAGGAACGGTGAAGAATAGCAGTTGTAAGTGGCCCTTTTGAGATCATTAAAAAGGCATCAATTGTTTATTTTGGGGGGAGGTGATATTTATTACAGGGCCTTAAAATTTCCCTAAATATGAGGATCTTTCCTTCCTCTATCCCCCCCCCCCCCCAATAACGAACTCTTTGGGCTTCTTCTTGAAGCGGGGTATGTGTCATTCAAATGCATATGCTTCTTCTAGATGCAAAACACATTCTGGACAGAATTTCTACTCTCACAGAATACAATTTCAAGATTTCTAGCCTCTCTTCCAGAATGGAATTTTTATTAAACTTTCCCTTGGATTCATTTATGGAAAAGGAGTAAAAATTCCTGATGGACACAGCTGATATGCTTCCTAGATTTCAGGTTCATAGGTAACTTAGGGACGGGAGAAAAGAAACATATATTACACTAATCTCTTCAGGAATTTACCCTCAAGGACTTGGGTGTTCCACCATTGGGACTGCTTCTGTCAAGTCTGTTGAGGAAATGCTTAGATGGAGAATCTCTGTATAGTGAGTTTATCAGGCCTTGATGACAGTTGGAGGACCTGCCGTTTCCACACTTGGTGGCAGCAGGATTGAGAGACCATAGCTTCCTTGTGTTGGATGAATAGCTGGGTGTGAAGCAAAGGGTTCCACATATTCCTCATACTAGTACGTTGGCAGTAGCTTTTAGCAATATGTTGACAGGACACCTGTTAGGACCCAGGCAATAGAAGGGCACCAGGGGAGCCAGTGAAGACTTCACTCATGCAAGCATTCACGGGGTTTTGCTTGGGGTAGGTCCCCCGCCACCTTGCCTCCATGCCCACCCAATCCCAAGGTGCCTTCTGACACCTAGGTGGTGGTTGTTGTTTTTTTAAAGGCAGAAGCAGACTGTCTCGACGTCCTTGAAAAATACCGAGGAAAGTGTGAGCCAACCTTTCTGTTTTATGCGGTAAGCGCTGTTTAAGAAACAGGACGTGGCAGGGAGGGGCAAGTCATCAGATTCCGTTGTGATTGGTGACACCCTAGGGCGTTTACTCGGTGGAAGTGGAAGGAGGACCTTCTCCACCTGAACTTTCACCTGAACGTCCAGGTCCACTCCTTTGTGTGAAATGTTCTCACTCCTCCCTCATCGCCAGTCAAGCCGGAGCCGACTCACAGCTGACCCTCCGGTGTGTTTTCAGAGGCTGAAAATCACAAGGGAGGAGATTGCTCGTCTTTCTCTCATGGAGCAGCCGGTGGATTTGAACCTCTTACCTTTGAGTTGTCAGCGCAACTCCCTACAGCTAGGCCGGCAAGCAGACAATACAAGCATGTTCAAATAAAGCAGGAAACTTGCTTTTACTCCTCCATTTGAGAGTTGGGCATCAGCTCTGCCTGTGTTTTCAGGTCCCCACTGCTCCACTCTTAAAGCTGATGGTGCCGTGTTCACGTCTTTGTCCCTCTCTATACCCACTCTACTCCACATTCATACCCTTTGCTTCTGATCTGGTGCTTGGCATATAGTAACATCTCAATAAAAAGCTTTAGGCAGCATAAGCAAGGGGTGAGCCACACGTGGTCACTCACAACATGCTTGGCCCTGTTAACTTGCTCCCAGTTTCCCCTTAAGAAAGTTCTAGAAGGAAGGACATAGGTGAGAAAATAAAGAGGGAAGAAGAGACATTATTTCAGAATGAGGGACAGGCAGTCCCAGGCTGTCCTGCCCCAGGGTGGCCGCAGGAGGTGAAAGCAGTGGCCAGCGCACCTGGACGTGAGTGATGGGGGAGGCTCCCAGCAACCTTGATCGTGGATACATTCCAGAAAAAAAAACCCAAAACAAAAACAAACAAACCAAAAAATCCAACAACAACAAAGACCGCCACAAAACCCTTATACATTCTTGAGGTAGCTTGAAAAAGGTTAACATGTGGAAATAGGGTTTCATGAGGTGTGACCCATCTGTGTGTTCCAGGGAGGAGAGCTGGTGGCTGTGGTGAGAGGTGTGAACGCCCCACTGCTGCAGGAGACCATCCTGGACCAGCTGGCGGCCGAGGAGCGAGTGCTGAGCGAGGGCAGAGAACGCAGAGTGGTAACTGAGGTCTCCTGGGAGCAGCGAGCTGCCCAAGTGTTCTCACGGGGCCACAGAGGCCAGCAGGGTTCCCTCCATCTCCCCCCTCTCCCGCTCCCGTGAGTTTGTTAGAGTTATTGCTCCTACATAAGTCCCCGCATTGGATTAATTCCTCACTTAGAGCTGAGTTGGAGGGCACAGTGATCCACTCTGACGCATACAGATTTTGCAACTTTCTTTTTAAAATCTCTTCCCCATCATCTAGACTCCTTAGAGCTCTCTTACCCGTGTAGCTTTCACCTTGCACTTTACCTTTTTCCTTTCTGGAATGCTGACGGGATCAGCTATTCCACTACTTGGAATACATCCTGAGAATATGACAACTGAGGCACAAACTGAGATTTGTACACCAGTGTTCATAGCAGCATTATTCATCATCACAAGAACATGGAAACAGCCCAAATGTCCAATCACAAATGAATGGATTGAGAAATTATGGTACAGTCACACAATGGAATACTAGGCAACACACAGGAGCAATAACTTTGTAAATTATTACCTAAATTGGGAGGGACTGGAGAGCATTATGCTGAGTGAACTAACTCAGTCCCCCAAGGATAAATACTGTATAAAACTGTTATTGTGGAATGAGTATAAGGATCCAGGAGGGGTGGGAGAGGCTGGAAGCAGAGGGATGTAGATGTCCAGGGGGAAGTGGGGGTTAATGACTGGGTTGTACAATTTATTGGGTGTGGGGGATAAAGGAAATGGAAAGAATTTGTTCGAATTTGTATTAGAATTTTGTAAGTAAACTAGTAAAAAAAAATCTAAAAAAAATAAAATCAAATCTCTTCCCCATCATCTAGACACCTTTGAGCTCTCTTAGCCATGTGACCTCACACTTTATCACTTTTCTTTCTGGAATGCTGACAAAGGATCAGAAATAAAAATAAAGCTATGGGATCTAGTGGTGGGCAGTCTGCCCTCAGCCCCACTGCAAAATCTTTCCTTGGGAGTGGCCCTCACTTCCTAGCCCTGAAAGGTTTGCCCAATGATCTTAATTTAGAAATCAACCTTTCCTAATTTAGGGAGCTCTGGTGGCCTAAGGGTGTCCATCCCAAAGGTAATCAGTTTGAATCCAGCCTCTGCTCCCTGGGGACAAAGATGGGCAATCTTCTCCTGTGTGATTGACTGTCTCTGAAAACCCCTAGAGGGTCAGCTATGAGTGGATTCCAACAATGTAGCAATAGCTTTAAAATGGTGCTTTGGCAATGCCATGAGAAATAGGATCATCAGAATTTGATAACCTAGATTGCAAACTTTTCACAAATTATGGGCTGTCTTTGAATAGCAACACGCCTGAAGCCCAAAGACTTTGTGGCTTTCTGGCATTGTTCATAATTCCACAGCTGACTCCAAGTAAAGCTTTACGTGCTTTTGTGTCAGCTGCGACTCATAGCGACCCTACACATACGGCTCTGAACCTTCCCTGTCCTGAGCCAATCTCACTGTCTCTGACACACCTACCCCTATTACCTGTCACTGAGTCAATCCATCCCATCCAGGGTCTTCCTCTCCTGCGCTGTCCCTTCACCCTTCCAGTCATGATGTTCTTCTCCGAGGACTGAGACCTCCTGGCAACCTGCCCCAAAGTATGTGAGATGGAGCCTCAAAATCCTTGCCTCCAATGAGAAACTTGGTTTCACCTTCTCCAGGTCAGACCTGTTAGTAATCTTGGCAGTCGATGGTATGTTCAGTACTCTTCTCCAGCACCACAACTCAAAGGCATTGATTCTTCTTCTGTCATCCTTTGTCATATTCAGCTCTGTGAGGCATAGCAAGTAATTGAGAAGACTATGGCCTGGATGAGGCACACCTTAATCTTTGCAGTGACATTGTTGCTCTTCAGCACTCTAGAGAGGTCCCTGACAGCCAATTTTCCCAGTGAAATTAGTATTTTGATTTCCTGATTGCTGGTGCCAATAGTGTTGTAGAAATTAGAATGAAATCTTTTTTTCCCTCCAGGAAAACTGGCAGTCTTACCACCAAGGGACAAAATTGCTAATACTTACATTTACATAATGCTCTAGGAACAGCTGTTGTCTAATACTCATTTGCATTTCCATTGTTGTTCTGTCTTTTTTAAAAAATTTTATTATTTTTGTGTGTGTGTACCGTCAAATCAGATCCGACTGGTACAGAAGGAGATTGTCTCTCCTTTTCCAGCAGAACATCTGGTGGATTCGAACTGTGCACCTCTGGGATTCCAGTGCAGCTTCTTGCCACTACGCCCCCAGAGCTTGCCTTTTTTTTTTTTTTTTATGTGTGTACCGTCAAATTGAATCTGACTGGTACAGGAGGTGATTGTTCCTCCTTCTTCAGCAGAGCGTCTGGTGGATTTGAACTGCGCATCTCTGGGATTACAATGCAGCCTCTTGCCATTAGGCCACCAGAGCTCACCTGTTCTGTCTTTTTTTAAAAAAATCTTTTTTATTGATTTGCATACAAAATTCACACACATTGTTTTACGCTTTCTTTCATTCACATTGTATTTTATCCAATCATTTCGATACACTGTATTTTAGAATATTAAAATTACCATTGAACAATGCCCGCCATTTCCCATCTTTTCAGGTCCCAGCCAAATCTTTCCTATTTGCTTTACAACCTCCCTCCACCCACCAAATTGTCCACCCTCTTGGTTTCTTCCCTTCCCAGCCTCACCCTTATGCTCACATCCCTTACCTCCTTGGGTCTCCATACATGTTTTACTAGTTATCCTTCTCTTTTTTACATTAATAGTAGTATGCAGTATTTGTCCTTCTAAGACTGAGTTAGTTCACTAAGCATAATGCTCTCTAGTCTTTCCCAAGTTATGTAGTATTTTTCTAAATAGTTGCTCCTGTGTGCTACATATTATTCCATTGTGTGACTGTACCATGCTTTCTTAATCTATTCAATTGTGGTTGGACATTTGGGCTGTTTCCAGATTTTTTGTATGGTGAATAACACTGTTATGAACATTGCCAATTTCTTTTCTTCCTCTTAGTTTCTACTTGATGCTCATGAAATCGGAAAGAATCTATAACCTAAGATGAATCAACATAGATTCCCTTGTCTCCTGACTCCCCACCTCACCCCATCACCCACCCAGCTGCTAAAGGGGTTCTTTGTAAGGTTCCCCAAACTCTGACAATCTTGACCTGCTTCTTGTAGTGCAGACTATCCCTGGGTGTTTTGGGTTTTTTTTTTTTTTATGATCTTTTGGATAATATTAATTAACTCATTACTTCCTGTTCATGTCCGACTTGTCCTATTAATAGATCAAAGATGCAGCTCTTATTGATGAAGAGGAACTTGATTCCCAGAAAAAGGACGGTGGTGACGACGAGGGCGTGGGTGAGGAACCAGTCAGAAAGACAGAAAGCCCAATGAGGCTCAGAGGGGGTTTTACGTGTATGCATCACCAGTCTGTCCACACGAATGCCAGAACATCCTGTCAAAGCTCCACCTGCCTCTTCCTGGCACTTCACAGCCTTCCAATCAGGGTCAAATCTAGCAAGGGTGACATTAATGATGGTAATTCCTGGGCGAAAGAAAATCCCCATTAGATAAAAGGGAGGGTAGTAACACTATTCATTTAAAATAGTGACGATGATAATTCCTTAGTCCTTAGTCAAACTATGGAGCTCTGGTGGCCTAGTTGGAAGAGGGCTGTGCTGTCAAACCAAAGGCAGGCGGTTCGAATGCACAAGCTGCTCCAACAGAGAAAGATGGCCAATTTAAAGCATCATAAACCCCTGGAAGGGACTTCTGGTGGCCTAGTGCTAAGAAGCTGCACTGCTCTTTGCCACATTTACTTCTAGAATAAAGACCGTTCTCAGCAACCGGATTGCTGACATTCCAGGGACTGTCGACATGACTCTGAAGGGCTGTACTGTTATTGTGAAAAGTTCATGGGAAACCTTGCAGAGGGACTGCAATCACGTCAATGTGGAGCTCAGTCTTCTCAGAAAGAAGAAGAGGCTTCGTGTTGACAAGTGCTGGGGGAACAGGAAGGAACTGGCTATGGTTGGCACCATCTGTAGCCACATACAGAACATGAACATGACCAAGGGGGTTACACTAGGCTTTCATTACAAGACGAGGTCTGTGTCTGCTCATTTCCCCATCAACGTCACGGAGTCAGACAGAGATGTGCAGGGTGCACAAGGCTGTGGTCCAAAGCAGGTGACTCCTCACCCTGACAGAGGAGGGGCCATCTAGACCCCCACCCCCCTGCCCAGGGGCAGCCAGTCACACTGACCGCTCAAGGCTGGTGTCTTGGCTCAAAGCCATGCCAATTTGATCTTCTCAGAATTTAAACTGAGACCGAGGCGTGAGGTTGCATTTTGGTAGAATGTGCTGGGAGAAAATCACTGAAAGTCCTCTAAGCTCAGAAGCTGGGACAGCCGTTATTGGCCACACGGACAGGAGAGTTCAAAAGCAGGAGGCAGGAGGGGAGAACCTCGCAGGCAGCGGCAGAAGATGGGAGGTCACGAGAGGGTGATGGCGTTCTGGGGCGGTCACGCTTGGGCTGCCTCCTTCCAGTCCCTTGCGGGCCCAGCCCCTCTGTTGTTTCTCTCTCCCAGAGTATCTTTGAGCAGCCCCCTCCTCCCTTCTTCCTGAGCCTCACTGAGCCTGGCTCTGTTACTCTGAGCAAGGTGGAGGTCAAGGTCTAGTGTGAGGGCCTGGCATTCTTAAGAGCCAGCAGCCGACAGGCTTGGCCAAAGGGCCAGAGGAGGAAATGCAGGGAGCCCAGGGCTGAGCCTGGGGCTTGGTGCTTGGGTGGCTTCAGGGGAAGCTGTGTGTGACCTCTGAACAGCCTCAGAGCCCGTGCTCAGAGCCCAGCACCCAACAGCACCGGCCTTTGCCTTTTTCCAGTTTCCCCGGGAAAGAACTGTACTGTGGCCATCATTAAACCAGATGCCGTGGTCCATGGAAATGCTGACGAGATCATGATGAAGGTGAGAGAGGTGGAGCGAGCCCACCACGATGGTTTTCATGCCTTCGCGGGGGGGAAAACGGGGCGGTGTGCCGTGCAAAGAGGTGTCCTGGTGGGATAAGGAGGGGTCTGAGGACTGTCAACTAAAATTTCACCTAAATGAAAACAGTTAACCCCAACTGTGACTGATCCTTGGTGGTGAGGGTTTCCAATGCTCTTGAGTGGTGTCTGTCGTTTTTACCGTTTCCACCGAGATAAATGTAAATTTGCGTTTGACTTAATTTAACCCCTTTAGAACATTTACACGTGTGTATATTCTACAGATCCAAGAAGCTGGGTTTGACATCTTGACCTGTGAAGAGAGAACTTTCACAGAGAGAGAAATCCGGCTTTTCTACCAGCACAGAGCAGAAGAGGTGGGCTCGTCTGCTTCCACGCTCTTGTGTGTTCGTTCAACACCGTGTTGACAGATTGCTATCAGGCCAGGAGAAAGTAGGTTATTGTGAAAAGCTAGGATATAAACAGCAAGTGGGTTGTGGATTTGTTCTCCAAATAATGACTAGTAAGATGTATTGTTGTTGTTGTTAAGTACCATCGAGTAGAGTACGACTCATAGTGACCCTGTGAACAAAAGGTCTGAACCCTGTTCTATCCTGCGCCATCCTCACACTTCCTGACACGCAAAAGCCCACTGCAGCGGTCAATGTGTCAGTCCACCTGGTTGAGGGTCTTCCCCTCCTTCGCTGACCCTCCACCCTTCCCGCCATCATGTCCCTCTCTCAAGGAGTAGCCGCGCCTAGCAACATGCCCAAAGTATGTGAGGTGAAGCCTCATCATTCTTGCCTCCAAAGAGCACTTGGGCTGCACCCTCTCCAAGACATATCTGTTCGTTCTCGTGGCTGTCCATGGGATGTTCAGTGCTCTTCTCCAACATCACAGCTCATAGCTTAATCATTTAAGGCAGTGATTCTGACTCTAAGTAACAAGGAATTAAGAGGACAATCCAGAACTTACTGAATTGACACAAAACAATTCATCAACCCGAAGTCTCGTCATTTGACCCTTAGCTTTTATGTGAGTTGTCAGGCGATGGTAGTCATCACCCCTCTCTAGGCCTCAAGGCAGGGAAAGAAAGGTGGGCAGACAGAGGAAGGGCAGTTCCCCGGGCACGCTGGCTGGTGGAAAGGCTGTTTGCAGACCCTGTTCCATCTCATAGGACAGATGGGCTTGGCTGGCCTCCTGCAGGCCGCGGGAGCCCCGCCTCAGCTCACTGTTCGCCTCCTGTGTCTAGGAAGCATTTGAGAAGCTGATACATCACATGTGCAGCGGACCGAGCTGTCTCCTGATCCTTGCTCGGACTGGGGCCGCTGAGGACGTGGTCACAGCCTGGCAAACCCTCATGGGACCCTGTGACCCCGAAGTGGCCAGGAGGGAGCACCCTGAAAGGTAATACCACCAGCTGTCACCCTTCCATCCATCACAAATCAGCCCCAGAACTGTGGGTAACACAAAAGGCTCTCTGACAACTGGGAGGCCCTTTTTGTGATGTATATGGGGGACAAAGACTTCTCAGGGAGCTCTGGTGGCCCAGTGGTAAGGAGCTGAGCTGCCATCCTAAAGGCACACAGTTCAAAACCACCAGTTGCTCCGTGAGATGGGCAGTTTGCTCCTGTGTGATTTACTGATTCTGAAAACCCACTGGAGAGTCAGCTCCGAGTTGGTTCCGACGCGATGGTACGTAACAGTAACGTGACGTCTCTGCTGCGTATTTGCAGAGAGGCCTGACTTGCTGTCCTTTCCTGGTCACTTGCTGAGTGCCTCCTGGGAGCTGCCTCTCTCCTGCGAGCTGTCTCTGCACCCAGTCCCCAGCCCCTCTTCCATCCCAGGATCCCCTATGAGGGCCCAGGACCACCTTTGACAGACTCACGCAGGAAAATGCTCATTTCAGGGCCCCCATCAGGTGTGAAAGTCACAGTTTCTGGACTGGGGCCTGAGAACCTGCACTGTTGACTCACCTTTCCCCACTAGGGTATCCTGGGGCCCCCAGTTCTGTCCTGCACTCACTTGTACAATCTGTCTGGCCTACTACTGGGCTCTGTGATTATTTAGCTTCATGAAGCTGATGTAAAATTTGTCAAATCAGCTGTGGTTTGTTTAAGCTGAGAGAGGCCCAGTCAAAACCAGAGAACCAGAACTTAGTAAGAAGTCCAGTAACTACCATTGTATCATTGGACCTTGGCAGCAGGTGGGAGCTCTGGTGCCTTGTTGTTGTTGGTTGCCTTTGAGTCGAGCACAACTCGTGACCCTATGAACAAAAGGCCTGAAGCCCCTCTACAACTATGGACATTTATCAAAGTTCATAAAGTTTCCGGAGGCATGTTGTTTAGGAAGTGGATGCCTCTCCTGCTTAGTAGTAAGGAATTACACTGCTGATGCAAAAGTATGTGGTTCAAATCCACCAGATGCTCCGTGGGGGAAAGATGGGCAGTCTCTTCCAGTGCTATCTACCACCTCTGAAAACTCAGTTTGTGAGTCAGCTATCAGTCAGGTCTGACTTGATGGTACACAGCAACAACACCAACTCTGTTTGTGGAAGGCCAGAGTTGCCCGTGTATGAGGCCATCGGGGTTTGTGAAACGCAGCCCAGTGTTTAGATCTTTGCTCTTGTACGTGGGCAAGCCCCTCTCCAAGCCTGGCCCCTGGTCCGTGAACTGGGCTCTATGAACAATGCTAAGAGAAGTCATACAGCCCTAGGGAAGAACATAGACTCCAGAAACTTCTGTCTGTCTGAGATTGAAGTCCCTCTTCCTGAACAAAACAGTTCCTTTCTTTTCTCTTTGCCCATGGCCCAGCCTTCGTGCTCAATACGGCACAGAAATGCCCTTTAATGCCGTCCACGGAAGCCGGGACAGAGAGGACGCTGACCGAGAGCTGGAGATACTCTTCCCCAATTTCAAGTTCTCAGCTGACCGGATGGAAGCCCCTCAGGGTAAGTCATGAAGGTGGATTTAATCCTCTAAAACCTCAGGTGACAGGAAATCTGGGACTATGTCCTTGATTGTGTGTAAGGACTGATTATCACTGTTAGGTCACCACGGTGTCAATCTAATTAAACGCAGGAAAACCCTTCATTGCCAAGAGACTCAGAGCTGGCACCTCCAGTGGGGTTTGGAGGGCCTGCAGGTCGCATGGGAGGAGATTGCCTATCTTTCTCCTGCAGGCTGCTGGTGGATTCAAACCACCTACCTTTGGTCTGGCAGCTCAACTTTCAATATGGACTATAAAACATACAAAACACACAACACCCTAAGCTGCTTGTGGTCCAGTCGTGACTCAGTGCCCTTGAGGACAGAGTCAAACTGCCCCACTGAGTGTGAGAGTAGAAGTGGCACATCTTTCTCCATGGAGGGCTGGGGGGGTTGAATCACTCACCTTTGGGTTCACAGACTAGCGCCCAGCGAAGCTCTTTGTTCTGAAAACGGTGTTGTTAGGCGCTGACGAGTTGCCTCTGAGTCACGCCAACCATATGCACGACAGATTGAAACAGCCCGGTCCTGAGTCTTCCTCAGAATCTCCTGTCAGCTCAAGTCCACTGTCACAGCCACTGTGCCAATCCAGGGCACTGAGGGTCTTCCTTTCCTTCACAGACACCCCCCCCCACCATCTTTTTCCACAGCCGAGCCCCTCCTGAAAGCAGGTAGAACACGTACGTGAGACAAAGTCCACCCATCCTTGCCTGCACGGAGCACTCTTGTTCTTTGGACAGTCCGTGGGCTGTCCAGCACTCCTTGTCAACACGACTCTAAGGCACTCATTCTTCTCCCATCTTCCTTGTTCATCACCTGACCTTCACAGGCATAGGAAGTAATTGAAAATGCCATGGCTTGACTCAGACCAGGTGTGCTTTTAAAATTGACCCTGTCGTGCTTTGACTCAGATCAGGTGTGTTTTAAAAATTGACCCTGTCATGATTTAAAGGGGTCTTTGACGGCAGATATGTCCACTGAAATATGTCTCTCTCTCTTTTTACCACTACTTTCATGGATGCTGATTATGTTGCTGTTGTTGTTGTAAGGTAAAAAGGTGCAGAGAACCGGGTGAAGTAGAACAAAGGAGTTTTTTAGCAGCTCTCGCACTGGGTTTGCTGTCTGAGGCCAGAGAAAGGCAGGGTCAGGCAGCAAAATTGCAAATGAGGAAATCACAGACCAAATTTTACAGGTAGGGGTTGGAGGGTAGGATGGTCAGCTCTGTGGTCAGCTTTCCGTGGAGGAGGTTGATTGAGTGCCCTTCGTTATTTCCCAAATATGGAGTCACTCAGTCCCTTTGGGTGAATTATGTCATTGTGGACGGTTAAGCAAGGTATGGTTGGTGGTTGTGCTCTTTCCTGATTGGCCATTACCATCTTAAACCAGACAGATTGGAATGACTCCCAGAAGGTGCAGCCAGTGTGGAATGTTGCCCAGATCCCAGGTGGCCTTTCAGTTTTTACGTGCTGTTGAGTCAACGATGACTCATAATGACCCTATGAACAGCTCTGAAGCCTGCCCTATCCTGAGCCAACCCCAACATCTCCAACACAGTTGACCCCATTTTTACAGTCACTGTGTCAATCTCATCAAGGGTCTTCCTTTCTTGTGCTGTCCCTTCACCTTTCCAAGCATGATGTCCTTCTCCAAGAACTGGCCCCTCCTGGCAACATGTCCAATGTATGTGAGGCAGAGTGTCACCATCTTTGCCTCCAAGGAGTAACCTGGCTGTACTTTCTCCAGAACCTATCTGGTTCTTTTGGCAGTCCGTGGGACACTCAGTACGCTTCTCCAGCATCACAGCTCAAAGGCACAGATTCTTCTTGTGTCGTCCCTAGTCATAGTCCAGCTTTCAAATGCACAGCAAGCAATGGAAATGACCATGACTTGAATCACAGTAAAACAAGATCCTAGACAACTTCTCCCTTTTCTCAATTCATCACAATGCTGCCTGTTGATCCAGTGGTGAGGATTCTTTCTGAGTTGAGGTGTAAGTTTTGAATTGTTGATGTGTGACATCAAGTTGACTCTGACTCACAGCGACTTTATGTGCAACAGCTCTGAATGCTGCTCTATCGTGGGCCAGTTTCATGGTCTCTGATGCACCATTAAGTAACTCTGGTGGTGCATATGGTTAGCTTGCTCACCGCTAACAGAAAGGTTGATGGTTTGGGTCCACACAAAGGCACCCTGGAAGAAAGGGCTGGTTTTTGCTTCTGAAAAGCCAGCTGCTGGCAACCCCACAGAGCACAGCTCTCCGCTGGCACGTGGGCACCATGAGCCAGGGCTGCTGCAGTTGGCATGGTTACGACATTAGCATCAATCCTCAACTGTTCTGTGTCAGAGAGATACAGCACTACCGTTTAATCCTGCGGTAAAATGTCCACCGCATTTTTTCCCCTTTCCTTTCCTTTCCTTTCTTCTTTCCTTTTCATGTACCATCAAATCAGATCTGACTGGTACAGGAGGAGATTGCCTCCTCCTTCTCCAGCAGAACATCTGGTGGATTTGAACCGCGTACCTCTGGTATTGCAGTGCCGTGCCTTGCCACTAGGCCACCAGAGGAGCTCCCTTCCTTTCAAGATAATTTCAAGTTTAATCTGCCAAATACACACAAGATGAGTTTGTAGAGCACGTTTGCCTGGGTGCTACCAAATAAACAGAAATTTCTTGAAAGAATTGATTAGGTAGGGTTGAAAAATGGGCCCCCTGGTCAGGTAAGTGGGTGGAGAGTCAGGAAAGGTAGAGAAAGGTAGAGATGCCTCATTCAGCCAGGGAGGAGCTGGGACTCTCAGGAACCCAGGACAAAGCCCCTCTCATGAGCAACACAGGCAACACAGACTGGGGCTGGATGTCACAAGCTGGTCAGGAGTGACCCCAGGCCCGCACAGCTGCCACGATTGTGCAATCCTGACATTGTGGCTCCTGTAGCTACCTTTCCTCCCTCCTTTAGGCATCAATTCTCCTTCTATCCTTCCCAGTCATTGTCCAGCTCTCTGATTAATAACAAGTGATTGCAAAGACCATGGTCTGTATCAGGTGCACCTTAGTCTCCAGAGTGACACCATTGCTCTTCAGTACTCTTAGAGAGGTGCCTAATAGCAGACTCTGCCATTGCAGTACGTCTTTTAATTTCCTGGCTTTTAAACACTTTGCGTAGGTCTCCTAATTAAGGGCCCTTCCCTTCTGTGCGTAGCTTTCAGAGGCAGCCTTTGGGAAAGGGGTGGAGAGGCCTCGCGGCCTCACAGCTTCCAAGCTGGCTCAGAAACTCACAACTCAGGGAGCATGTGAATTGGCACATCAGGCCTGCCCTCGTTGCTCCTGCTGCCGATTTCTGAGTTCGTGCCTCTGGTCTGACTCTGAGGTGAAGTGAAAGGGGCTGGGGTTAAGTACCCCGAGTCTGAGTCTTGAGGCCAGGGGCTCTGAGAGAGTCGTGGTGCTAACCCAGAGGCCTTATCTCTCTGGTGGTTCAAATCCACCCTGCAGCTCCACGGAAAAGGGCCTATCTCCTCTCATGCCATTTCCTGCCTCAGGAGCCCAATGCAGGGTCAGCCAAGTGGGTTCCAACTTGACAACAGTGAGTGAGTCTTGGGAGAAGACCACACAGTGATGTAACCTTGCTCGCTGAAACTGAGGAGGGGACCTGAAGCATCTGATGCAGAAAGTCAAGGACAGCCGTCTCCAGTACGGATTGAAGGTCAACATCAAGAAGACAAAGATTCTCACCACTGGGCCAATTGGCAGCAGGATGACAGATGAAAATTAGACTGAGATTGTTAACAATTTCACAATTTCAGTTTGCTCGGGTCCACAGTCAACACCCTTGGCACCAGCAGTCAGGAAATCAAAAGACTAATTACACTAGGAAAATCTGCTGTCAGGGACCTCTCCAGAGTGCTAAAGAGCAACAGTGTCAGTCTAGAGACTAAGGTGCACGTGAATCAGGCTACAGTCTTCACAATTACTTGCTATGCATCAGAGAGCTGGACAATGACTAAGCCTGACAGAAGAATTGATGCCTTTGAGTTGTGGTGCTGGAGAAGAGTATTGAATGGACCATGGACTGCCAAGAGAATAAACAAGTCTGGTGGTTTTTGTTTTTTGTTTTTTTTAAACAAGTCTGTTTTTGGAGAGTGTTAAATCTAGTTTTTCCTTGGAGGCAAGGATTTTAGGGACAAGTCCTTGGAGAGGGATATCATGCTTGGAAAAGTGGAGGGACAGTGCAGGAGAGGAAGACCCAGATGAGATGGACTGACACAGTGACTAGGGCAAGTGGAGGTAGGACTGTCAGAGACGGTGAGATTGGCTCAGGATAGGACAGGGGTTAGAGCTATTGTGCATAAGGTCGCTGTGAGTTGCAGGCAACTCAACACCACATAAAAACGACATGCATGTCCTAAATGCTTGGCCTTTAGTATATGTTCAAATGTTCAATACGCTGGCAGTCTCATCAAGATCTCAGATCTGGTCAGAGAACAGGTGATTAGAGGCAGTGTAAGGCCATCAGGTTTTCAGTGTTTCAACTGTCAGCTGAGGAGCCAGCTGGGAGTGTGGTGGAATTCAGGGTCATATAATCACGGACATGTGGCTCTGCTGTGGAGCAGAGACTCGAGGTGACACAGCCGATGCCTCCCCTTCTCTCGTTTCCCTGTGAAGCAGACATTGTGAGGCAGCCATTGCTGGGACCAGCATCTCTCTAGGGCGAGACCCTCCGAAGGGGACACATCTTCATATGTCCAGGATGCTGCCCACCTTTGTCTTTTTGGGAGGTGATCTGAAGCAAATAGGTGTCACTTGGGGCCAAGTCTGCGGAAGGAGGGTAGTGCAGAGTCTGGGGAAACCAGGAGGTAGACTTTTTGGCTCTCCTCATCATAGGCAAAGGGAACAGTTCCCCCAAACCCAGCCCCTATTCTGGAACGAGAGCACAGCTCCACGGGGCTACTTGACATCCTTGTTGAGGTGCAGCGTGTCTGTGGCTCTGATGTCACCGTCATGCCTTCTCAGGTTGAAAGAGCTGTGGGGTGTTTTCACTGGCCCTGTTCAGTGGACACTGGAGCAGGAGTCAAGGGATCTGGGCTTGACAAAGCCTTGTGAGTGAGGAGCTGACTGGCCTTTGCAAAGTTACTTTCCCTTTCTAGGCCTGTTTCCTTATCTATAATAGCTCCATTATCACCCTCGAAGAACCACCTAGGGAGCTCTAGTGGCCTAGTGGTAAGAAGCTGGGCTGTATTCCTGAAGGCACACAGTTCGAATCCACTAGCTTCTATACAGAAGAATGAGAGCTCTCCTCCCGTGCGATCAACTGCCTCTGAAAACCCGCTGGAGGGTCAGGGATGGGTCAGCTCCGACTCGATGAGGCTCAGCAGAAACTGCCACCACTGCTGTCCTCAAGGAGCTGTTGTGAAGGTGAAAGGCAATGTCAAGGTCCCATCTTGGTATTGGACACATGGCGGCTGACATGTCACTAGTTCCTGCACTTGCTATGCGTCCGAGAGCTGGACAATGACTAGGGAGGATAGAAGGAGAATTGATGCCTTTGAGCTGTGGTGCTGGAGAAGAGTATTGAGGGTACCATGGACTGCTAGAAAAACAGATTCATCCTGGAGAGGGTTAAACCAGGCTACTCCTTGGAGGCAAGGATTCTGGGGCTTCGTCTGACATACTTTGGTCATGTTGTAAGGAGGGACTTTGGAGAAGGACATCATGCTTGGGAGGGTGGAGGGACAGCACAAGAGAGAAAGGCCCTCTATGAGGTGGATTGATTCTGTGAGTGGGGTAACAGGGGTAGATGTGTTGGAGACAGTGAGATCGGCACAGGACAGAGCAGGGTTTAGGGCTGTTGTATATAGTCATTATGAGTCGCAGGCAACTCAACGACACTTAACAACATAACAACATGTTTAATACTTGTTGTTGTGGACCATCGAGTCAATACCGACCCTCAGCTGACCCTCCATCGGTTTCGGAGACAGTAAATCACACAGGAGGAGACTGCCCGTCCTTCTCCTGTGCAGCAGCTGGTGGATTCGAACCACATGCCTTTGGCATTGCAGCACTTTCTTACCACCAGAGCGTCTGAATACATGTTAGGGCTCCTCTCTGATGTCCCTCCCAGGGCCACCCCTAACTCACGGTCAGTGATTCACAGTCCAGTCCTTTATCCCTGCTCCTGGATTACAGGCAGGGTGGGAGGACATGGGAGGGCAGCTGTGTAAACCCTGAAGACTATGTTGTCCTACAGACGGCCAGGCCCCGGGCATGCCGGGCCCCACCAAGACGCTGGGCCCTGAGAACTGAGCCGGCCGTGCGGCCCTTCCTGAGCATGCCCAGTGGTCAGGCCGCAGGATCAGACGTCCACCAGCTCAGGATCGATGCACCAAGGACGTCTCCGGACGACAGCCCACCCACTGGGGCATCGAGTGCTCTCCTGGGCAGTGAAGACACGTGTCCCTGCTTTCAACAGGTTTCTGCTCTGCGATTTTCTTTTAAATAAATAAATCTATCTTAAGTCTGCATTAAGCTGATGTCATTTCAGGGGCTGCTCAGTTATGTAAGACAATGTTTCTTTAACAATCTACTTTAGAGACTGGTAACATTTGAGAGCTTGGTAACACCCAGGTTCGGACAAGACACAGCCAAGCCAAGCACAGCGACATCAGAGGCGGGCATGGGTCAGCTCTCAGTGTCCCCTCACGCTGCTTGTCTGTCACGGGTACAGACATTTATTTAATGCAGGGGGTGCGCACACAGCAATGGTGAAGGGTATAGTTGGAACCAGGTTCATCTATTATTAACTTCCTTAATACTTGGGGTTTCCAGTTTCAGACACAAACTAATTTTAATACCTGAAGACTTCCTGTGGGGGCCAGGCTACCTTCAGCATCCACGGAATTGACCTGGTGTCACCACCCCTCCATTTTTTTTTTTTTTTTGGTTTGTTTGGAAGAAAAGAGAGTTCATTTCACAAGCTGTAGATAGGGAAGAGTAGAACTGGACAGCCAGGAGGTCAGTGACACCAAGAACTAACTTCCCTCCATTTTTTTTTTTTTTTTGGTTTGTTTGGAAGAAAAGAGAGTTCATTTCACAAGCTGTAGATAGGGAAGAGTAGAACTGGACAGCCAGGAGGTCAGTGACACCAAGAACTAACTTCCCTCCATAGTTCTTGAAGGATCCAGGAGGAGGTTTCACAAAACAGTAACTGTTAAACAATGACCATTGTCAAGGCATGATCACTCACTTGCAGCCCTTTGCTTGTCTATCCAGCGAGTCTAGACAAGCTTTATCCTCTCCAGTCAAAGAAAAGTTCCCATCTTCACGAGGTGGAATGTCCACACTTCCCCTCAGACGTGCTGGTCTTCTGCAGACATCCTTGCTCCTGTGACTTGACGTTCTTAAGCTGCACAGACAGCCCTGAGAAGATTCCTCTTCGTGGCTGCGTTACTCCGTCAGCGTACAGCACAAACCCCTCTGTGCTGACCCCGGAGAGGTTGAGTCAGGCTGTGTGCAGGCAGGACCAGGGGCCTGGACAGCTGTGGGTCCCACGACCTCGTCACCTGGCTGGAAACAAGCAGGCCCACAGTGAACAACAAGACCAGTGGTCCCCATGTGGACCAAGAGTGTAAGGGTGCCCTCAGAGACCTCGACCTGGATTAGGTAGATGCTGGTTCCTGACCCACAGATTCACAGTCCACCGTGGGGTTGTGCCCACCTCAGAGCTGAAGAGCCCATGGTGGAGCCCTAGAGCCTACACTGGGCTACACAGCAAAGCTGAGCACAGCTCTAGGTGACCCCAGGGGTAAAAGCGCACTCTGTCAGTTGCCTGGTCTCGCTGGAAGCCAAGGATCTCTACCCCTGGCTTCACAGAGGGCCACCTGCAAGAGGCGGCGGACCACTCTGATGGGTGTTTATGTGTGTGTGAGAGAGGTTTTTTTGAGTTCTAGGGCATGGTGGGGCTGAGATGGGCAGGTGGGTTCCCAGGGAAGAGTTAGGAGGCTGGTGACACATGTCCCTGGAGAAGAGGAAAGGTGGTCCACTCTGTGGACCTTTGGGGGTTCCCTCAGCCTGTCCCAAGGCCAGATCCAGGACTGAAGCTTCCCCTGATGCTGGAGACTAACAAGTACCTCTTGGTACAGCAAGCAGAGGAAAGGAGAGAAAATGGAGGAGGAGTGGTGCAGGCTGGCCGGCTCTGGGCAGTACCAGTGCGCACCCCCCTCCACCCTGGTGCCAAGGTGTTAGGATGGGAGTCTCTCTCTCCTCCTGTCCTCCCTCAAGCCCCTTGTCTAAGTTTCTCATGTGGCACAGGAAAGAGGCCCCTGTGACCTTCCTCCTCTTTCCTGGCCTCCCCTGGGGGCCAGGAGAGCGGGTTGCATTCCACTTGCATCCCCTCCCAGGGCTGTGGGGCACGTGACCTTGACTTTCCTTCTCTGTCTCCAATGAGACCTGAGGTTCTCCATTCTGCACAGATTGGGGTGGGGGGGTAGCCCTTTAAGCCTCCTGACCCTCAGAAGGTCAAGAGAGAGGTCCCCAGAGGGGTCAGCTTACTCTGAGATGCAAAGCTCTCTGCTAGCCCCCCATTCCCAGAGCCCCGAGTCCCACGGGTTCTAATATTTCTTAAGGTTCTAGACATACGGAAAACAGACTCCTTTTTAGAAGTTGCCATGACTTCCGGTTTTTAAAATTTTTATTAGCATGTGTTAAAATCGTATTACCCAAACACTACCAGAGGATCAGGTATTCTGAAAAAAGTGCTTAGAGGAAGCAATAATGCAACTCATTCAACTGGACGTTCTTTTCGAGTTCATAAATCCTGGGTTACAGTCAGGGCACAGAAGGAACAGAATGCAGTATTGGAGAAGCTTAGTCAAGAACTTGGGTGTTGACACAAGACCGTGCCCTTCTCCCCACTTCCTTGCTGCCTGAACAGTGCACCTGTGCGGAGCTGCAAACAGCTTTAATAGATACATTTTCCTTCATGTCAATCATCAGAAAGTTAGTGACAGTAAAGCACTTTTTCTTTTCTCTTTCTGTATCCCGAGCTGCCTGGGAGGAGTGTTACTTCAGTGGGCTGTCAGCTCACTCACGCTCTTTGGGTTCAAGATTGTCTGAGCAATTCACTATTGGTTTCTCATATACACCTGGTTTGCCCCAACTCTACAGTGTTCTACAAATGCCAACCCAGGATTACGTCCTCTGAACTACAAACTACAGGGAATGGGCCCGGGTCGGGCTTTATTCCCAAGAAGCTAAGTTTTTGTTAAAAATTCTTCTAGCGCTGTGATGTCTGCAAATAACCCAAGTTCCTGTCTTGACAGCTTTTTAGATGCGTGATGTTCTGAAAAAACCGCCACCTGGACATCTCTGTTTGGATCTTGGGGAGGGTGTCATGTTGATACCAGGAAAAATGGCATTAAATACATTTTGTTAACACATTCTTTCACAACCAGATATACTTAAGCTCTTCCAGGGAAGGGGCAGACTGGCGACAGGGCACTGAGACATGAGGAACCCTGTCGGGAGTGGCAGGTGGGCCCCGGCCTTGTGAGAGGACCTGCTCACCGTGAACTTCAGGCTCCCAGATGTGGTACCTTTGGCCTTGTTTAGGCAAAGGAAAGCTGGTTCAAGCACTGGTCAAGAGCAACAACCTCTGTGTGCGCCACCTTCACGCAGACCTGAAGCCCACCAGGTGCCCGGCTAAGGGCCGCAGAGGGCTGAGAGGGCTTGCTGTAAAACGAAGTCGTCCGTGCTCATCTCCTCTTACCTTGAGTGCTTCTAGCTTCGCGCAGAAGTTCCAAAGTGCGTCTTTCACTAAAATGTTTTTCGTTTTACAAAAGCACTCTGCCCCTCAGTCCTGGGTGACTGGCACGGAGTTTGCTGAACACAGCCGAGAAGTGCAGTATTCTCAGTTACCTTGTCCTTTGCTTCCTTTAACAGAGGGCTCTGGTACAACGTTTAACTTCACAGTGACACGTGCAGTTCAGAAGGACAGGTGATCTGACTTGGATGGGAGTTCCAAGACTGCCAGTTCATGCTGGCGGGTACGGGGACCACAAGAGGGTTCCAGGCCCTTGCCTCCTGTCATTCTCCAAGACTACCAGTTCATCCTGTTGGCTATGATACACCGCAGACAGGTCTGGGACCACAAGAAGGCTCCAGGTCCCCACCGCCTGTCATTCATGGCTCGGCTTTTACTATCAGTAGTTAAATTTCCCTTAGAAGTCTCAAAAATTCTGCTGCCTTCCTCAGCTCCATCCTGCCCCTCGGCCTTGGAAGCCTGAGAACGTCCTGAAATCGGCTCTGTACCTGCTAATATCGATGACAGTAAGACGCTAACTTTTGCACAGCACCATGTAGAGTACCTGCTAAATCAGGCTGACCAGAGCCAACTTCTTTTTAAAAAATTTTATATAAAGAAAATCTATGTAAGTTGAGGTTCAGAAATGCATATATTTTTTTTTTTTACTTACAAATATTCATCTGACCAAAATTTAACATAACCTTTATGGAACACTTAACAATTAATTTGTTTTTTAAAATAACATTTCATTCAAACTGTATATAATTCAGTAAATTTTTTTTTTTATACAGCAAGCAATGCTTAAACCCTGGAAAATCTGTAGAAAAGATATTTTCACACAAAATAAGAAAAGAAAATTCTGAGGTATCACACACGCGCGCGCACGCGCACACACACGCACATACACACCCCCTCCCCAACACACGGCCGTGTGCGCAGACATATTCATTCTCACAAAGTGGTTGCAGCATAGGAAGAAAATTGTAGTCCAAAGGAAAATGATGACTGATTGTTCTAATAAAGAATCCAGGTAGCTCAGAAACAGAACAAAACAAAACACAACACAATAGTCCTCTGAGGAAATGACTACCTCAAAAAAAGAAAAAGAAAAAAAAAAGAAAGAAAGGAAAAGGTTCTCAAGACGAAGTTGAGATCTAAGCCTACGAAATTGCTTTTTCAAAACAGCTCCCTGCAGTCCAAGGTGGCTTGTGCAAATAGAAGGAATCGACGAGGCTGGGTCCTGAACGTCCTTGTATCAAGGAGGCTGGTGCGCGCAGGTGCCGGGGCGCCTCCCCTCACGCCAGGTACTGCTGCAGTGCCGTCTTCGCCCTGAAATCACAGAGGTCCTGTCAGTCACTGGGGCAGGCTTTTAACCGGACAAATCACTGTGGCCCAGGGAAGGGGATGGCTGTGGGGATGACTCCTGCCTCTCCTGGGAAACGGTGAGCTCTTGGAAGGGAAGTTCAATATTGGTCACGAGTGTGTTCCCAGCAGGTGGGACAGGTTGGCGGCACAGGGCAGCTACTGGGCTAATGAACGTTCTCATTATTGGACCCTCCGCTTCCCGGAAGGACACAGGCATTCTTCTTCCAGCAAGTCAGAGAACGGAGGCTGGCTCCCCCTGGAGCTTGTCCAGTTAGCCACCCACTAAGATGACCCGTGTGCATGTGAATTCAGAGTGAAGATGCGATTCTTTCATTATGTGCTCATTTCTAGTTTGTTATCTCAAACGTCAAAGAGTTGGCTCGCGCATGATTTAAACGTGAATCGAAAAGTCTAGAAAATGTTACATTTGGTCATGTGAATTACCAAGCTAATCCAAAGTTCCCCAGAGCAAGGCCCTTTGTATTTGATACTCACTTGTCACAGAGGTTTGAATCTGGTGACTGACTCAGCTTATGTAGAATATCTACAATGCCCATGTCTCGTAATTTGTCCTGGCGTTCTTGTGAACCTGAAAGGGTAAAGCCAGTGGGTTACCAGGAAGAGGACTGAGCGGTTTCTCCCTGAGGTACAAACTGTAACATTACTATAACCTGTAACATTACTGAGTCCCTTCTCCTGAACCCCGCCAGGCCTCTGTGCCCACCCCCACCCCGCGCCCTGGTAGTTCGGCCTTCACCCCTGGATCCTCTAGCAATCTGCAAAACAGGTCCCACTGCTGGACTGAAGGATCAAGGTCAGATTCACTCTGGTTGGCTTAACGGTAATGAACTGTGCTGCCAACCCAAAGGCATGTTGTTCAAACCCACTAGCTGCTTCTCAGGAGAAAGATGGGCAGTTTTCTCCTGGGAAATTAACTGTCTCTGAAAACCCACTGGAGGGTGAGCTATGAGTCAGTTCTTACTTGCTGGTGTATAACAACATAACACTCTGGCAGACCGCTGCCCTCGGCCAAGACAAGTTTGTCCTATTGTGACTGGTCTCACTTTCCCTTTTCTGTTCCTGGGCTCCCTCTCTAGCCTCCCCGCTCCTTCTTCTGGTTCCTGGTCAGCACGTGGCACTTCCAATTTCATACAGTTCTGCTCTAGCTTCCCACTTGGGCTTGGGAGCTTTTGGTGGGTGTCCCTGTCTCCCCTCAGTTCTTGGGAAGGGCCGCTGGCACCGAGACAACGCTTGGCATCTGTGGGCCAAATACTGTTCTTCTCCTTTGTCTGGACAGCAACGCTGAGTAACTTTCCTGCAGCTGTTCTTCTCCACTGAATGGCTTGCGATGACTCACTCGAGTGTGTGGGACTCACTAGAGGGATGTCAAGGCCTCTGGACCCAGAAATCTGCATTTCAGAATGTTCCCCAGGTGAAATACACAGCCAACACAGGGCCAAGGCCTCCCGTTTCCCGACTTCTGCCACTGTGGCTTTTACTGGAATCACCTGGAGCTTTCTGAAGTGCACTCCAGAGAGCCTCATTACACTGGTTTGGGTAAAAATCCCAGGTAGTTCTAGGAAGCGGTCAGGTTTAACCACAATAGTAACCCTGGATCTATCTGCACAGGGCCCTGATAGGCTGGCAGCTTCTGCTTCACTGAATACTCTGTATTTCTCGTCTTCCCACCAAGCTACCTGTCTGCAGTCCCTCCACGTGTGGCCCCTGCTCACAGGAAGGGTCTATCACGCTCACTGTGCTCCTTCTCAGCCTTCTCAAGGGCAGAGCTTGCCCTTTACTTCTTCTGGGCACCCCTCTTCCCCCTGGTCATTTGGTACAGTGATGACTCCAGGGTGGGGCTCTGTTCCTGTTGCCCATTTGGCCCAGGCACGTCCCACTGACCTCCATGCACAGAGACTCTGCAGCCCAGGATCTCAGGGGCACCTACCACCATCCCTGCATGAGATCCTCCTTCCAGAACTGTCTCCAGAAACATCTCACCAATTTCTTACCTTCCTCTTCATTCCAGATGAGGTTCGATATACAAAACATTGCAGCGAGCTGCAGCTTGACGTGTGAATGACCCTACACGATGCAGAAAGAGGGCGAGAAACAGAGGTTAATGACAATTAGAGGATTTGCTTTGTTTTTTGGGTTTTGTTATTATTGTTGTCTGTGTGGGTTTTTTTTTTTAAATTTTATTTTTTTTCTCTTCTGTGTACCATCAAATCAGATCCGACTAGCACAGGAGGAGATTGCCCCTCCTTTTCCAGAGGAGCATTTTGTGGATTCGAACTGCACACCTTCAGGATTGCAGTGCAGCCTCGTGCCATTAGGCCACCAGAGCTCCCTTTTATTTGGGTTTGTTGATTTTTTTAATTAGAGGATTTTCTTAGTCACACGTTATCTTGGTGACCTAACCTAGTGTGGCTATACCAGAAAAACCAGAAGTGGATGGGTTTATCTCAGAGAAATGGATTTTCTCAAGAGCTTGAGAAGTTAGGAGTCAGAATTGAGAGAGGAAAAGGGCTAACTTGTGCTTTATCTCTTTCAGCTCAAAATAGATTTATAAGGAATACTACTAGGGGTGGGGGATGCAGTTCAATCTATAACAAATGCCATAGGCAATCCCAACAGCCAGAATGCTTGAGCCCAGGGCCACAGACGCCAATGTTTTGAGGAGCCAAGAAGTTACAACTAACGAGTGAAAGACCTGTACGAACGACAAGAAGCAATGGCAAGAATCTTGCAAACTAAGTCACAGGGATAGACGCAGGCTGAAAATTAAAGGGTAAAAAAAGGTATACTGAGCACATAGGAAACAAAATAAAAAGTGGCAGCGGTAATAGTAATCTCTGATAAAATAGACTCTCAGGTAAAAACCAGCAAAAACGCCAGTAAAGAAGTATATAATGATTAAAGGGTCAATAGAATTAGCATACATAATCTTAAATAGTATCTATGCATTAAATGATACAGCTGCAAAATACGAACTTTAAAAAGACCAAGCTTCAACCAACCAAACTGTGCAGCTCTGCAACTGCATCCCTGCCCATCCTCACCCTTCTGCCCCCAACCCCCACCTCCTTGTACCTCCTTTATGTTTTTTCCAATTAAAAAAAAAAGACCAAACTTCAACAGATTTGAAAAAAATAGACCAAGAGTCAGTAATAGTAGGAGCCTTCAACACACCACTCTTGTGGAAGGGCAGAAGGGCTAGAAAGAAATCCATGTACTGCTGGTGGGCTTGCAAAATGGTGCACCCACTATGGAAGGGAGTCTGGTGCTGCCTTAAAAGGTAGAAAACAGAAAAAAAAACAACAAACAAACCAGGGATCCAGCTATTACATTGCTTGGAATGTGCCCTAATTTGATGGACAATTGAGCTGGGCACCGGTTTTTGGGCTGGCAGCTGTTTCCTTTCAGAGTTCTGTATAAAGCGTCTCACTGCCTTCTTATTTGCATGGTTTCTGTTGGGAAATCTGAACTTAGTTTCACTGGTCTTCCTTTGTAGGTAACTCATTTTTCTCAAACACTTCTCAGTATTCAATCTCTGTCCTTGATTTAGGAGAATTTGATTATGATATATCTTGGTGTTTTCTTTTGATGTTTCTCCTGTTCAAGGTTTGCTTTGCCTTGTGCAGGTATCTTTTTCTCATTTTTCACAATGTTTGGAAAGTTGTCTTCTAGTAAATCGTCATCATTTTCTTGGAGCTCCCCTCACCCTTCTTGCTGCTCTGTAATTCCAATCTCATGTGCATTGTTTTCCTGGACAATACCCCACATAATTCTGATGTTTTCTGCATTTCCCTTCCTACCTGTTTCTTCTAGTAGATTAGTACTGAGGGTCTGCTTTGCTACTTTGGAGTTTCATTTCCTCAATTCTGTCCTTTCCATACACTGGCATTTTCCAATGATTGGTCTTGCTCTTTGAGATTACAGTTTCTGTCTTAATATGTTTTCAAATGTTCCACGGGTTTTACCAGTTCTGTCTCATATTGACTTTAAAATTCTTCTAGCCTTTCACTCATGTATTCCTTCAGTTCATTTTACATTCCTCTCATCCTATGAAAACACTTGAGTGTCATTCTTCTGATTTCTTTCTCAGAGTACACTGTCAGCCTTCCTTACTCTGACATACTCTATGTTCTGATCACTTTCTTTTGGTGACATTTTGTTTTTTTGGTGAGGTTTGATGTTGTCTGTTGCTTCGAGGTCACTGTAGTAATGTTGTAATTGTAGATTTGTTTTAATTATTTTTTTCTGGTGTATGACAGCTGGTGGCATGTCCATGTAATTATCTGTTTGTTGTTTGTGTGTGGCCCTTGGGTGGAGGAGATGGTTATTTTCAGTGGCTGTCTTCTAATGCTGGTCAACTGGGGTATGTGCCACCAAGGCTTAAAATAAGGAAGGAAAATGATATTCTTTGGATTTGGTGTCACAGAGGTCACTGGTGACTTTAATCAGAATTGGTTTAGTCGAGTCGTCAAATGAAGTAGATTCAAGAGGTGAAGGAGCAGTTCATGTGTGTAAAAGATGCTTTTAAGATGTTTGGCTTTGAGTACAGCAGAGAAATGAGGTGTACCCCAATGAGACTGGCACAGGATAGGACAGGAGTTCAGACCTGTTGGTCATAGAATCACAATGAGTCATACTTGACTTAACAGCACCTAACGTGGTATGAGAAGTTAGGGGGAACCTTTCAAGGATTAGAGACACTATGCGGATCTGCTTTGGGCAGATAAAAGAAACTCCTGGTTAAATGAGTAAGGTTTTCTTACAAAACATATTTACTGAGCATGTACTAAAGACAATGGATGACAACTCCCCAATCCAATGGACTAAGATGCTGGCCGTATAATTAGGCACAAAACTGACATGTCCTTGCCTGGATTGACCTTACACTAACAAACAAACACACACAAATACTTATCATTGCAAATGAGCAAAGGCCCTTGGAGGCAGGGACTGAGTTACAAAGAATAAGCTACACAGAGAAGAGAAGCACTCAGTGAGCAAGTCTCTGTGACGAAGCCCAGCTGGGTGACAAGTCATGCCACCAAGGAGTCAAGTGAAGGAGGTCAGGCAGTGCAGACAGGACGTGAGAAAGTCCTGATGTAAGAAAGAGTGTGGCCTTCTGAGAAAGTGAAAAAGGCCAGTGTAGTCAGAGGATAAACACAAAAGGGAAATGAGACAAAGTGAGGGTAGAGACAGGCCAGCCATGCAGGACGTACAGAGGTGAGGACAGATTTACTCAGGATGTAAAGGGTAGCCACTGGAGGAGGCTGGTCTCTATTCTCATTATAAAGCACAAAGTGACATCATCACAAAGTATGGTGAGAGGGAAGAGGAGAGGTTTAACGAGAGAAGAGGTGGTACGACGGCATCGATGTGGAGAATGGGGCACCAGCTTAGGAGAGTCCTGACAGATCCCAGGCAGTCCTGAGTGATTCTGTGCACTGATGAATGTGAAATCAATGTCAAACAAGTGAGCTGGAATCCATGTCTTTCTCTATAGTGGAAAGCTCTGGAGTGGTTGGCAAATAGAACAACAAAAACAAAGAAGCACTCATTGCTGTTAAGTTGGAAATGACTCATAGTTGAGCTTCCAGTGGTTTTTCTGAGGCTGTAAATCCCCCAGAGGAGACTGCCAGGGAGGTGCCACCTTGGGAGTTACCTGTGTAACTCCCTACATACGCAGATGAAAGGAGATTTAGGAAATTCATCCAAGGTCAAAGTTTTGCTAGGGGGCACTCATGGGGTAAAGGATGGAAGTCTGAAATGAAGATTTTGGCAATGGTAGTTTGTTGATGACAGGATCCAGGGGACGGCCACAGTAATAGGGTGGCTAAGGTGTTTGGAAGTAAGGGATGGGCTAAAGTCAAGGCTCCAAGGGGCCAGGGAGTTGGAGCAGTCATCCAGTTCTAATGAAGGCCTTTCAAAGTCAGGCAGGGGCAGCGTGGGGGCGGGGAAGGGTTCAAAAGGAAGACACCAGCCTGAGTTCTCACTGTATGAGAGGAAGGATGAAGACCACAGGGCAAGGAGCAGGACGGTGGGTGGTAATACTGCCAAATGAAATAAGCTTCAAGAAGTAGCTGGTTTTCACGTTTTCTGTTCTTTTAGGACTGAAGAAAAGCCCTTGCCTCTGTCAGAGAAATCCTTCTCTGTTTCTTAACCTCCGAGTGTTCCCCCCTCTAATACTGTAAGTGTTCTGGCCGTCAAAGTACAGCAGTGGAAGGGGCTGAGAGCCTACCATGTAATACTTGATTTTCTGCAGTATGTCATCATTGGTCATGATGAGTTCTTTCGCCGTCGTCCCGTCCGCTATGTTGGCTAGGATGCACAGTGTCTGGAAAAGAACAAAGCGCTAGGAGTTAACAGTGACGTTCTCGGACTCACTGTGGTGAAACTCTCAAGAGCTCAAGTAAATTTCCCACCTGACGGCGTGTAGATGACCACGGTCAGTCTACTTAGGCAAAAGAGAACGTGAAGATTTCTAGGCATGAGCTTAGACTGACCAAAGGCAGCCATGGAATAAGATCACATAGACACACTTTATAATTATTTTTTTAAAATCTCCTTTTCAAGAGTGGTTCATGTTACTAACTAACCCATAAGGTTTCTTCCAATACGCATTCCCTTGGGAGACGGTTTCATAGGTATCAACTATTTTCTCTTTCCTCAAGACTTCCACCACTACTTATTGTTCCCAAGTTCACGACCTTCTGGGTGAAGACCGTTAACTTGTCTACCAGTCACCCCGGTCACGCACATTAGGCCCTCTCTACTTATGTCAAGTGTAGGCAGGGAGCTCCTTGAAGGCAAGACTTCCCCTCATATATTCTGAGCATTTATCCGGAGGGACCAACGGAAAGGGAACAGCACAGCGTCTGCTGAGTTCAAGTCCAGGGGTCCAGTGACTGTGAGGACCATACAGGACAGCTTTCTCAGTGTATCATTCTTTGGGACATGTACTCGCTAAGAGTTGGGGGTGACTCAATAGCATCTAACGACAACAAAAACTTCCTAAGGACTGAGGAATTAGCAAGGGGAGATCTGGACAATTTTCTGTAACTTTTTATTATTAAAAGTTACTAATTTTTTTAAAAAAAAGTTGAAAGAATAGCACATTTTCCACCTTGCCAAACAGCCGCCCTGTAGACTCACCAAGCACTGTGCAGCACTTGCTCATATGTGCTTATATGTATGTATTTTTCCTCTTTACTTTCTTCTGAAACACGTCATACTTTACCTCTAAGTATTTTAGAATAGATACTCTAAGAACAGTGACATTTTCCTACACTCCCATTATTATCTACTTGAGAACAGAAACTCTAAGGACATTTTCCTACACTACCATTATTATCGGCTGTTAGATCCGTCCAATTGGCTCTGAATCACGGCAGTTAGAACTGTCTGATCCTGACCTTCTTACGATTATTATACCAGCCTCAATTTATTATGCCTAAGAAAATGTTATCATTCATCTTTCTGGTTAGTCTCTTGTGGGAAGTATCCTATGAAGGGACACCAACTGACCATGGCACGTGAAATAAACAGAAATGATGTGGGGAGGAGACGGCAGTCATGTATTATTTAAGGCTGTCCAAGTTCAAGATCACATGAGATCCACATGAATGAAAGTTGCTCTACTCACATTCTAGCCCCTTGTGAGCCTACAGAAGATGGTTAGAGAACATTATACTCCACTCTCTCTGTCCTTTCACTTTATTTACTTGACATTCACACGCAGACATTCTTGGTGTCTTTGTGTACCTAACATTCAACTTAAATCTGGTGACACTGGGCTCACTAATGCAGACAAAATGAAATGTATTTAGAAAAGTTATCACATTCCTCCTATCCCTTCTTCCCTCAGGTGATTACAGAGAGACTTAGATGGGCAAGCTTTAAAATAACTCCACTATTCAAGAGCAAGCCAGCCAGATGACACATTCGCCAGAGGAACGATGCAAGTCTCACCAGGCAGCATCTAACCAGGCTTGAGTAAGGCAAATCCAAAAAGGCAAGAATAAGGCCAGGAGAGGGGAACACAAGCAGTCTGTGTTTTATAGGCTCTTTTTCTCCTGTTCTTAATTTCCCATCACTCTTCAGGAGGAAGGCTCAGTCCTGAGTTACATAGCCTAATTTTAGAGAAACAATGGAAATGAGAATCTAAAAGGCTTCAATAACCTAGGTATTCCTGGGAAGAGGAAGGAAATGGCCAACAATTGAGACTCACCACTAAAACAGGGTCTGAGGGAAATCTCAGAGAGCATAGACCAGGCCACCAAGACAAGACTAGCCATCCTGCAGTGTCTGAAAGAACTCTGACCTGAGGCTCATGTAACTTTTACTCTAAATACTCCTCTCTTGGTAAGAAACCAAATCTTAAAGAGATCCATTTGTTCTTGGGTCAATTAAGCACAAGAGACGGGAGGAATAAATGAAATTATTCATCTGCTATTTCTTTTTTCCCCCCTTTTTCAATTGGTATTTCACTGATTATTGATGCCTTATTTTCCCCCCCATTATTATTATTATTTTTTTTAAATTTCAATGAACATCTACAGAGAATTTGGAAATCCATTCATTCATTGTTGCACCCTTCTCCCCGCCCACTCCTCTCCTTAAAAAGCAAAACTTTTTCATTGGTACACAATACCCCCCGCACACCCCCCACCCCAAATACAATCCACTCTGCAACCCTCACTCCATACTCTTATGATAAACATAATGCCCTAAAATATAATACTTTTAAACTAGTCTCTCCCTCATAGACGTCAATGCAGTAAACGTAATTTATCCAGTTTTTCTCAGTCTTACCCCCACCCCGATGTCAGCCTCATTCTATATCATCTGCTATTTCTTGTTTACGGCTTTATGCATACACAGTTTCAAAAACAGGATGAGCAATAAAATCTTGAACTTGGACTAGTTGTAATATACATGAAAAAAAATAGATTCTTTAAAAAAGAAAACCTTAAGTGATGATGAAGGAGCTAAGTGACGTCTGGCCTGAAATGCCTGAAAACATTCTGATTGTTGCAGAATGAGAAACAATCTACAGGCCAAGAAGGAAAATTCATCCCAGAGCACTGCCTATGTCGGCGTGGGAAGAGGTCCACTCACTGCCCAGAGGAAAAGAGGTTAACCAGAAGCAGGTGGCACAAATCATTGGTTCTTCAGAAGTGTGGAAGGCATTACTTACAAATAGGGCCTCGTGGCACGAAGCACAATGCTGTCAATGAAAGGGCAATATTCAATATGTCCACAAGGAAGACCAATTAATAGAGGCTATCATTCAGTCTGGAGACTAAGGTGCACCTGATACAGGCCATGGTCATCACAACTGCTTGCCATGCATCAGAGAGCTGGGCAATGACTAAGGATGATAGAAGAATTGATGCCTTTGATATGTGGTATAGGAGGAGGGTACTGAACATACCATAGACTGGTAGTTGAACAAACAAGTTCGTCCTGGACAGGGTGAAACCAGGCTGCTCTGTGGAGACAAGGATTTTGAAGCTTCATCTGACATGTTCTGGACATGTTGCAAGGAGGTACCAGTCCTTGGAGAAGGACATCATGCTTGGAAGGGTAAAGGGACAGCATGGGAGAGGAAGACTCTGGCTGAGATGGACTGACTCAGTGACTGGGGTAAGGAGAGTAGGTGTATCAGAGACATTAAGGTTGGCTCAGGATACAGCAGGGCTCAGAGCTATTGTACACAGGGTCACGAGGAGTCACAAGCAACTCAACAGCACGTAACAGCAAACATCATCATCCACAATCCACCAAGGACAGAGATGAAGAAACCAGAAGTCTGCCAAGTCTGGCTGTGTGAAATTGACTGAATATGCAAACATGATGAACTGATAATTATCGGTGATAGAATTGTGAAAGCTGGAAACCATGAGGAAGGATCGGTATTTGGAAAATATGGCCTATGTTAAAGTGACGCTGCTGGTGCTGTGTTCTGTCCAGTCGGAATTGATTCATAGCTGACTCTCCAGTGGGAGTGACAGAAATCACAAAAAGAGACTGTACAAATTTTAAAAAAACCTGTTCCTGGCAAATACCCTTTCTAAAAAAAAATATTATTTTATTATTCTTTGTGTGTGTACCGCCAAATCGGATCTGACAGGTACAGGAGGAGATTGTCCCTCCTTCCCCAGCAGAGCATCTGGTGGATTCAAACTGTATGTCTCTGAGATTCCAGTACAGCTTCTTGCCACTAGGCCACCAGAGCTCCCTTGGCAAATACCCTTTTTAAACAACATAAACAGTGACTGTACAAGGATGGATCTTGCCAGATGGAATAATACAGAGAAATCAAATCCATGTGTGGAAAGAGACACTGAAGAAGCTGGACATTTTCTGTCAGAATAAGGCTGGGGCCAACTCTGCCTATTAACTGGTCCTCTGCAAGCTGAAGGAGAAAAAAAATGAAAACAAGTACATGAGAGCCAATGTAAGACACTGAGTAGGTTCCAAGTCAATTTAGAGACCATCTCAAGAGGAAATTTGCGGCACTCAACACTGAAAATCAAAGTAACATCAAAGACACTGTAGTGATGAATGCAAAAGGTCATTACCAAGGCAGAAAAGACTAAAATGGATGTGAGAACAGACTCTAAAACCTGTCCTTGAACATAGAATAGCTAAAGAGAATAACGGGAGGGAGCCCTCGTGGCCTGGTGCTGTCCCGTGGGGTAAAGACGGGCAATTTCCTCCCATGCAATTTACCTGCCCCCTAAACACATGCCGGAGGGTCTGCTCTGAGTTGGATCCGACTTGATGACATACAACACAGAGAACAGATGAAATGATGACATTAATGCGCCGAATAGAAGGTATCAAAGGACGGCTCAAGGAGACAAAGTATTAGAATGAAAGGTAACCTGGAGTCAGAAAACCAAAAAGGAGTAATGTGCTTGGCATTTCTCAAGCTGAATGAAATAAGTGAAACACTGAAGCTCTGCGTTGTTGCGATGGTGAAAGATTCTATGGGCAAAATACTGAAGGATTTAGAAAGCGTCAGAAGAGTAGGGAAGGAAGGCCTAGTTGCTGTACCAAATAGAACTGGCTGCCAGTCAATGATTCCGAGAGGCAGCGCATGGTTGAGAATGGCGAGCCCTAAAGAAAGAAGCCCAAGCTACACTGAAGGCACTAGTGAAAAACAAGTACCAAGGGAAAGTCAATGAGATATTTCAATAAACCACTGCACTGCTGGGAGCATTCACTATGCCAAGACATCTGGAAAAAAGCTACCAGGTCAACTGACTGGAGAAGTCCTCCATCTGTGTACATCCCCCAAACAGGGGGTAAAAATCATGTCAGGATAATCAAACAGCATCAGAATTAAATATAACACTCTGTTGAGGATAATGAAAAAATGGTTGCAGCACTACATAGACAGAATTCAAGTCAGATTTAGAAGAACATGAGTGGTATCATTGCTGATGTCAGATGGATTTTGGCTGAAGGCAGGAGTACCAAAAAGATGTCTACCTAAGCTTTATCCACCATGCAAACGTATTTACCTGTTAGGAAAAGAAGAAGTTATGGATAACACTGCAAAGAATGGAGATTCTAGAACACTTAATTATAGATAGAGTGTCTAGCCCTATTTATTTAGATCTTGTTTTTCTGTACCAGTGTAATGCAGATTCTATACATATTTTGTAAGATGAATAACTTTTTTTTGAGTTATGGTTGTTGAGTATGGTTGTTGTTGTTATGTGCCATTGGGTCATCTGTGACTCACAGAGACCCGTGTACATCAACCCTATCCCTTGCTCTACCCTGTGCCTATCTTATTGTCTCTGACACACCTACCCCCATTACTCCAGTCACTGAATCAATCCATCTCATCGAGGGTCTTCCCCTCCTGCGCTGTCCCACCTCCCTCCCAAGCATGACCGGTCCCTCCTTGCAACATGCCCAAAGTATGTCAGACGGAGCTTCAGAATCCTTGCCTCCAAGGAGCAGCCTGGTCTCACCCTCTCTAGGATGAACCTGTCTGTTCTCTTAGCAATCCATGGTATATTAAATATTCTTCTCCAACACCACAGCTCAAAGGCATCAATTCTCCTTCTATCATCCCTAGTCATTATCCAGCTCTCTGATGCATAGCATTGTGGCTCTTTAGTGTATGGTATTGTTTTTAAAATTTAAACTCTCAACTGGTCACTGCTTATACAAGTATTCTTTTTTATCCTATTACCTTGCTAAACTTTTTAGTTCAAGGATAATTTCTGATGATTCCATGGCATTTTCCATACAGACATGCATGTCTTCTAGGAATAGCTTTATTTCTTCCTGTCCTGTCTGTAGGCTTCTTTTTTAATTAGCAACTTGTACGCGATAGGAATTCTAGTACGACACTGAGCAGTAAGGAAATCCTGCGTCTGCCTGATCTAACAGTGGTGATGGGTCTGCTCACTATCGTGGGTGTATACGCATATTAAAATGTGTTAAGTATGTGTAGCTCGTTGCATGTCAATTATACCACATTACAAAAGAAGACATTATTTATTAAGCATTTTTAGAGAAACTAAAATTCCAGTTGACAACTAGATAGCTCAAGCCTTTCCACTGCTTCTGACCTCTAGATGATCTCAGTAAGTTATCAGAGATAATAGAGTTTTTGTTCTACTAAAATGCTAGCCTTTTCTTTGGCCCTCGTGCAAGTCTTGTCTGGTAAGCCACTCTCCTTCACCTTCTAAGTCGGGGGTGGGGTGGTGACCTCTATCTACCAGGAGAAGTCCTTCCCGGCTCCTCTACACACTCTGTCTCCTGGGAAGAACGTGCACATCCTTACTCAGGCTCCTTTCACTGTTGTCCACGAGGCTGAGCTTTTCCTGTGTTAATTTTTTTCTTCATCAAATTATAGCCATTTGGTACTTCATTTTAAGCTTAATCACCTAGAATATTCATCTGAAGCTGGTATTGATAAATAGATCACCTTTTTGTTCCTAAATTCAACCACATATTTCTGTGCCGTGTCACCCCCTTGTCCTAACTGTTGGGAAGCTCACTGACTGCTGGAATTCAGGACCACAGAGGGAAGGGGAAGAGCACGGGCTCTGCATTTAGACGCTCTGGGCCCAAGTCTCCACTTGAAAAGTTAAGGACTTTGGACAAGTTTCTTGGAGACACACAGAAAAGCATGCACATCCTATGTGGACACTCTGTGGATTTTCCAAAGTGAGCGCGTTCATATAATGCACATCTGCCACAGGAAATGGAGCGTGACCTGCATCTCAGAGCTCATGAACTGAAGACTGAAGAGAACTTTTGCTTTTATGGCAAAATCAAATACATACGACATTAAGGATTCAATCATCCATCCTAAGAGGGGTTGGTGGGGGTAGGTGTATCTGAGAAAGTGAGATTGGCACAGGACAGAGCAGGGTTTAGGGCTGCTGTTCATAAGGTCGCTATGAGTCGCAGGTGACTTGACAGAATACAACAACAACAACAACAACAAGGGGGGGTGGAGAGTAATTGTCAAATTATCCTCTTAAAGATCTATCGCAGCCTTTGAACTTCTATGCTGACCCCTGCCTTGCCCAACTATTCAAAAATTCAGTGTAGAGTGGGTGTATGGGGGAGGGAACAAGAAAAGATGCCCCAGAGTAAACAAACAAAAATGTCTCCAAGATAAAGGATTATTAGAGAGTGGGAAGAATGTAAGTAAGATAGAGGGGGCTAGAAATATCAGATCCTGGGGAAGGTGTCTGTCCTTGTAAGAAAGGGACAATATTTAAAGTGTATTGTTGTTGATTGCCTTTGAGTTGAACATGACTCATAGCGATCCTATGAACAAAAGGCTTGAAGCCCCTCTACAACCTATTGACATTTATCAAGGTTCATAGGGTTTCTGGAGGCATGTTATTTAGGAAGTGGATGCAACTCCTGCTTCCAATTAGAGAGGTCTGGTGACCTAGTGGCAAGAAGCTGTGCTGCAATCCTAAAGGCATGAGTTCAAATCCCAGCAGCTGCTCTGTGGGAGAAAGATGGGCAATCTCCTCCCGTGCGATCAACTGCCTCTGAAAACTGCCGCTGGAGGGTCAGCTACAGGTTAGTTCTGACTTGACAGTACACAACAACAGCAAGAACAACAAGGTGTATTACACAGGTGCATAACTACAGTATCCAGCCACGTGTTTCTTGATTCTAGGAGAAGTGGAAAAGAAACTAATTTTAGGGAGGGTAGGGGAACTAACTTCCCTCCCCTTTTCCGATTTTTTTTTCCTGTTTCTAGAACTATCACAGTCCCCCAACTACGTGTAGATTTGAGCCTTGAGGTCACTCCTAACTCAAGTCTTCCACAGCATTCACACTCAGAAGGTAAGTCTCCAACGAAAAGGATCACATACCTGCTCTTTGACCTCTGTGTTATGTTCCCCTTCCAGAATAAGAGTCACGGCTTGCATAATTTGCTTCCCATGAGTACTCATTATTTTATCTATGTGCTGTAAAACAATAGGAAATCCTCGATTATTATCCGGATACAAAGGAAAAGATCACAGGAAAGAAAAGAAGGCTTCGTAAATGTAACAAAAAGACACAGAACTGCTCTGTGCAGAATATCACAGCCTACAGAGCTGACACCAAAGAACACGCTTATTTTATTTTGAAGTTGCCTTTTGCTTTCAAGTATATATATATTACAACTTGAAGATGAAGAATACATAGATTTGTCCTTAAGAGAATATAGGACTCAGTCACTAGGGGTCTTTAAGCTCAAAGACATGGAGGCGGGGGGGGGGAGCCGCGAGGGGGGGGGTGGAGGCGGGGGGGGGGGGGGGGACGACACAAAAAGGGAACACAAATAATGGATAGAGGGGAAAGGCCAGACTTGGAAAATAACGTATAGACTTGCTGATACTATTTGAGAGCATAAATGAATTCAGCAGCCTCTCTTTGAAGCATCAAGTGAGGTTCCTGACGCCACTGCTCAGGGAACATTAGAGGATACGGTCCAGGAGCCCCAGTCTTTGCACCTAACATGTACCCACTCCAGAGTAGCACCCTCAGAGGTTGGTCCTGACGTGTGGACTCTGTGGGCAAGTCCTGTGGAATTATATTCAGCAGAATTTGTGAAGAGAAAGAAACGAAGTCTCAAAGATAACTAAGCCCAAATTAGCCAGCAAATTAGGTATAAGTAACAAAACAAAACAAACCAAACCAACAAAAAGAAGAGTAGGCACATATTCAGCATTATGAGAGAGCAGGGAGAGGGGACAGGTAGCGTTAGAGTGAAGGGCTGGGTGGTTCTAAGGTGTAACTGCTCCCAGAGTTTCTGGGAAGGTGACAGGTTACGTTGCTTCTCTGGGAAGGGTGACATTTGAAGAGGCTGGCAGGCACAGAGAGCCTGTTCTGTGATGTCACTGGTTGCCATGGAGTCAGTTGTGACTCACAGTGATGCCATGTATGTGGAGAAAACTACTTCACACTGTTTTCAAGGCTCTGATCTTACAGAAGCAGCTTGCTGGACCTGCCTGGACAGGCACGTTTGAAGGGGGCTCAAACCATCAAGCTTCTGGCTTGGAGTGGAGTGCTTAACTGTCAGTGTCCCGCAGGGACCCTTGCAACGTGTACACATGGCTAAATCCAGGAACCCAGGGGATTTTACTTACAGGACGAGTAGAGAGCAGATTCCTAAGAAGTCCCAATGTCTTCATCAGCACATTCAAATCGGAATCTGACAACAACCGGAATAGCTGTTCAGTACTCAAGCTTCGTAAAATATCAGCTTTTATTTTTTGTTCAGCCTGAAATGCCATATTCTGAAAGGATTAAAAAGTTGCAAGAATCACGTCTACATTTTCTTTAGTAAATTACATTTTATTAACTCGGATAATGTTCAAGGCAGGAAGACCGCAAACCATCTGTAAGACACAATACTGACATGGTTCCTTTTAACAGGTCACCTGCAATTCCTCCTGTCAAAAGGAAGATAAGTTCCACTTTTAGATATATTTATATATAACTTCTATAATATAATAATATATAACTTCCATAATATAATAATATATAACTTCTATAATATAATAATATAACTTCTAGAATATAATAATTAATATAATTATCTTCTTTAAGCTTTTTTCTGATGTGAGTATTTGAATGTCTTAATACTTTTCAAATAAGCACATTATCTTGGTTGTTTCTAAGTTGCCTCTGGTAAATTTTAATAATAAAATAACTCTATGTCATGTGTTTTGGGAATGATTTAAAAGCAAGCTGCAGATATTGTTAGTTTTACCTAAGTTAAAATGTCTGTGAGTGGCCTGTCCTCCTCATCCTATGAAGAGAAGTCCTCTCTCACCTCTTTGAGGGGGGCTTCCTCTCTTTTCCGCCTTTAATAGTCTCTTTGTCCGCACAGCATGTTCTACCTTCACTAACAAAAAAGGGCCGAGGAACCTCTTAGAACTCTTAACAGGATGCACTTTGCTTTCATAAACTTCTTTTTTTAAAAAAAAAACCCCAACAACCCCAACGGTATGGTTCACAGTACTATGTCAGGGGCTTCTACAGCTGGGTCACGCCATGCAGAACCTCTCCACGGGGCTGCAGGTATTTCCGGCTCCTAGCAACTCCAGGTGACCAGCAGCAATATTATTCCTTTTCTTCCACGCTAGACACAGTATGAATTAATCCAACTTAACCCCAAGACATTTTAAGATTTCTGAAGAAAATAAAAACTGCAAAGTTTAAATACCAACTCACAAAACAACTTTTGGTATAAAAAAAAATCTGTGCCGAAACTTCTTTCTTAGATAATGCCATTCTTGTCCTCTAGTAACTTCTATTTAAGTTAAAGAGTGAAGATACCTGAGCAATCAAGTAACCTAATGCAGCATGACAGAATCAGAAGAGTACTGAGCTGGGTGTCAGAAGACCTAGGCCAGAGATGGATCTACGATTTTATATTTTGCAGATGGGAGAAAATAGGAGCAAGTGATAAAAAAAAAATCCTGAGAATAAGATAGTATGGAATTAAAGCACTGGATGATAAGTTCAAGAAAAGCTGTTCATGTCAGGGAACATTAAAAGGTGTCAGGGAACATTAAAAGGTGCGCGTGTCATGAACCCCAGGTGAAGTTCCATAGGTCATTAAGTGGTAGATCTGGACAGCTATAGCTGATACATAGATCTTAAGGTTCTTCTTTCAGGAGGACTTGAAACGTATGAAAGCATACAGATGAAGTTCTGGAATACGATGGTGTCAAGGTATTTGGAAATCTGGGAGCTGAAACGTGGTGGAATGTCCCCTAAGAAAGAGGTTAAAAATGACAAAAGGCAGAAAGTGAAGTTAAAATGGTTAAGTCTTGGGAAAGGGTTTCAAGAAATTAAAAAAAAAAAAGTGATAAAACTAATATAAAAATTAAGGAGAAAAAAAAATAACTGTGAAATCAGACTCTGTTTTTTAGAAGATTCTACATCAAAGTTTGTAAGACAAAGAGGAAGCCGAGCACAGAATAGGGAGAAAAGGTTGGGTTTTGAGAGAAGTTAAAAATGGTACCTAACAACAGCAGCAGCATTTATTAGCTGGGAGGCCTTCGGTTTGACCTTCCTGAGTCCCAGGTTCCCATTTGTAAGGGGGAAGGTGGCTATATAACAACAGAACTTAAAACACTAAAACAGACCTTAAAAGAATTAGAACTAACAAATAGAAAACAATTAGTTTATGGCTACCACATAGCAAATGATCTCTAGTGGCCTGGTGGTATGAAGCTGCACTGAAATCCCAAAGGTGCACAGTTCAAATCCACCAGCTGCTCTGCGGAAGGATGGGCGACCTCCTCCCATGTGAATTACTGCCCCAGCAAACCTACTGGAGGGTGAGCTACGGCTCAGTTCTCACTCAACAGAAAACAGCAACGATCATCACATCTTTAAAAATCTATGTAAAATTGCTCCATTTTCAATTTCAATACCAGGTTTTCAACTAAGTCTTCTAACTCATTGTTATATAGCTTTAGAACCTAGATCATTCTACATTTATTTTAAACAGAAGCTACTGAGAAATTAGGGAGTCTGGTGGTGGTCTGAAGAGGGTTACACTGCTAACCCAAAGGCTGTGTCATTCTGGCAGTTCGAATCCACCAGCAGGAGACTGACGGGCAGTCTCTTCCCTGTGATCTGCAGCCTTGCAATGGAGGGTCGGCGATGAGTTGGTTCAGTCTGATGACAATGGATGAGTGAGTGATAGACACTCCTGAGCATGATCAGGCATCAATTCCGTCACAGTGGTCAAGTTATTAAATAGTTTGTACCTCTGATTAGTCATCCATGAAATATAACGAGGATACTAATGTTTCATAAAAGTTTTATAAAGAGCAAAAGAATCATGAAAGTAAGGCAGATGTTGTAAAGTAGATTCCTTTGTAAAGTAGATTTTAAACCAGCCAACCCGCTGTCACTGCACTGATTCCGATTCAAGGTGACTCCATGTGTGACTGCAGTGTTAGCCTATAGTTGCCTTCTTTCAGCCACTACTTTAGCCCCCTCTGGTGTTTAGCTGCCTTAGCTACAGACACATGGTCTTGCAAATCGTCAACAGCTGTGGGATTAGGATGAGAGAGAGAGAGAGAGAGAGAGAGAGAGAGAGAGAGAGAGAGAACTTCCCACACTGAGCTGCAAGACTTGAGGGAGACTGGACCAAGACCCTGTTGAACGTGAGAACTTGGTGGCGAGACCCTTGCTATGGTGGTTGAGAGACTGTGGCATTGCTATAGAGAATACTGCACAAGGTGTAACCAGAGGAGCACTGAGATAAAGGCTACATTTAAAAATTTTGCTGCTCCTGCCTTTGATGATGAAAAGAAAAGATGAACCAAAAACAGAACTTGGACTAATTGAGGAAGTTTGCCTTGAGACTGTTAGACTAAAACCTGGACTTGCACTGGATGCTATTCTTTGCCTACCTCACTCTCTAATTTACTTCCCTAATAATCCCTGTTCTCAGAACTACAACTAGGAGTAAACATGGATATGAACTACTTGCTGCTGGCGTGGCTTTAGACTATGGGGCTGGAGTACAGGCTCTTTATCTGCTTTCTGCCCCGGCGTGGTGAAGAGCTGTGCTTTTCTCACTCACTTGGCCCTTTCAGAGAGATGCTCACAGCCTTGCCCCCCTATGTCCCATTTTCTGCTCTCTATACAGTGAACAGAGTAGAACTCTGCCTTGGAGGGTTTCAAAATCTTAAGTTTTCAGAAGCAGATTCCCAGACATTTCATCTAAGGTAGCTCTGAGTGGATGTGAGCCACCAGCTGAAAGGTCAGTGGCTGTGTGTGTAACCATTTGTACCCCCAAGGACTGCTGTTGCTAAGGACTGTGACCCTATCCAAAGAGTTTTTAAGGCTGTGACCTTTCAGAAGCAGACCACCAGAACCTTCTTTTGAGGCAGCTCCGGATGAATTGAAATAGCTAACCTTTCAGATAGGAGACAAGTACTTAGCATTGCAAAGCTCAGCCATGGCACAGACAGCCCTAGCAGTATGTTCTTGATGAGGAAAAACTGTTCTGTCAAAAGGAAATAAATTAAATCTCAACACTTGACCACTCTTCTCCACAATTTATAGGCAAAGGCAAACCAAAGGCACACAGTATCCAAGCAACTTGCTTATAAGAGAAATGGAAAGCAGAACAGTCTATCTTTTCCTTTCTAGGTGTCAGGTAATTTACAATATCTGGACAAAATAGCAAACCTTCTTAAAAAGAAAAGGTTAAACATTTCAAGAACTAGTGTCATACTCCTTGGCAAACGACAATAGGCATCGAAGGTTAAAACGTACCATTAAAGCCCAAATTCCATTCACTCGTAAAGCAGGGTTTTCACTCTGGGTTAATCCACACAGCAGCTCTACAGCTCCTGATTCTAAAATTGGCTGTGATTGGGAAGGAAAAGAAGGCAGCTTTAAAGTCAGGTTTGTGAATGAAGTACACACAGACTTCAGCACTCTGCTTAGGATTTCCCCCTACTTTTGCTCCATTCCAAAGCAAGGAATGAGGTGACCTTTAGAATGACCTTGAAAAATGGCAAGGACAGATATTCTCATAAAATCACAAGACAAAACCAGGGATCATTTTCTTCTCCTTTGTAATTCTGGAGGACTTAGGACTATGTCGTGTCTAGGAGACACCATTTTATCTGCACATTTCACATACACCTAGAACCCCATCTCATGTCCTACCACCCCCTCTTTCTATTCTGATTCTTCCTACCCTCTGAGTCTCTTGCTCTCTGTGTGCCTGTATCCTGCGCGTTGTTCAAAAGTGTGACTATGAAGCAATGTGGCCGGTTTAGGGAAGAGCTGTAATGGAAATGAGATATTCACACCACCCTTCTTCTAAGTTGGCATCTTGTTAGCTTAGTCCAAACAGGCTGTCAATGTCATCTTTTAGAATTACCTTTACAGAAGCAAACAGTCTTGTCATACAACCTCTTTTATATCTCAAACTTAAGCCTTAACTTTTATAGTTCTTGGCTAAGAATAAGTTTTGGCAATAGTCCAAACAAAACAACAAAATAAATAAAAATCAAAACTTTAGAGGACTATGATTTCTTGTTACTGAGGAATGGAAGGAAATGAAGAAGGGTCTAGTGCCGGCTTAAGCAATTCAGATGCACACACCAAAAAAAGAGCAATGCCTTTCAAGACGACACTTCTGATGGAAACTTCCACTTTTCCAAGTTGTAGTATTTGAAGTTTTCTAGTTTGAAATAGTATCAAATACACGGAAAAATGACAAGAACATGACAAGGTATTCACACATATCTTTTCCCACGATTCACTTATTTTTACCATTTTGTTTTAGTGGCTTTATCATTCTCCTCTGCTCTATACAAGTATGTCCACATTATCTTTTCTGAATCGTTTGAAAGTAAATATATAATTGTTATTCTAACTACTTCATATGTCATAAGAACAAAGATATTCTCTTAGATAATCACAGTGTAGTAACCAAATTCAGAAAAGTTAACATTAAAAACTAAACCTTTATCTAATCTACAGCCCATATTCCAATCGGGTAAATTGAGCCAATAATCATCATAAAGTGTTTCCCTTCCAGTTCAGGATCTAGTTAGTCTGTCTTGACTATAAACACTAATTCTATTACTATATTCTCCTCATGTGGATTCTTATGTGAGTTCATCCTCTATCTTATTCCATAACCAGACCCTGGGCATTTTGAGGGAAGATATAAAACAACTCCTGAGTTATCCAGAAGGCTATTCAGGCTGATTAGTGGTGTCACACCAGCTGCAATCAGGACCCCACCAGGGTAGAGGGGACAGAGGCTATCTTGTCAACTTCCTCCTTCAGAATGACTACTTGCTTCTTCTCTTGTTCCAAGATTTTTGCTGATTATCTTTGAACCTTTACCTGAATAATATCCCTTCCTTTCTAATTACCAAACAGAAATCCACAGTAGATAAGAGTCATCAAAAAAGGAGCAACTCACTGCAGGAAAACTGTCTAAACCTTAGTTGGGCAAATCAAGAGACATTAAACATGATAAAACTGTGTAAGGATCCCCTTCCTTTAGGTTGAAGTTTTCCTAGTTAAGCAATATATTTTAAAATAATTTATGAGTCAGAAAAAAAAGGGAGGGGAAATCTCTATACTCTATCCTTCCCCATACAATTATCATTAACACTTAAAATTATCTTCATTATTGGTAGTTATAGTCCTTGAAAGGACTTTTAACCTTGGCGTATAAAATGAGTGGAATGGCTGGATTCTGCTAAGGTGTGTTTCCTGGTTTGGGGTTGAGATTAGGGTGTGGCTTTTGTTCACAACAAGAAGTGAGCTGGTTAGATTTGGTCTCGTATTTAAAAAGGCTTTTGGCTGCCAGTCTGGGGCTATTTCTAGGCTGGGAAGATGAGAGGAATGGCTAGATTCTGTTAAGGTGTGTTTTCTGGTTTGAGGTTGAAACTAGAATGTGGATTTTGCTCACACGAGCTGACTGGATTTGGCCTCGTATTTAAAAAGGCTTTTGCCTGCTTTTGGATCTCCCAAATAAAACAAACTTGGAAGCAGGAGTGCGTATCTACTTCAAAAAGCTTGCCTCCGGAAACTCTATGAACACGGAGAAAAGATGAAAGTTTTGTGTTCAAGACTTTCGTTCACAGGGTCACTATGTGTTGTCTATGACTGGAAGGCACGTAACAATAACAATAGTAATGTATTCTTTAGTAAATATAGTCTGAGAACATTTTATTATTTGTGACATTTCAGGTAATTTAGAGTGGCTAAAAAGTGTAATATCTCTCAAATATGTTGAACATGCAGACAGAAGGAGTGGTAGCTGTGTCTTGTTTTTTCTAGGGAGGAAAAAAAAATCTCACTATCTAGAAGATCTTTTCAGAACCACCTACTATGAAAATTATCTGACTGAGCTCTGGCTGGACTGGGTCAAGTCTAGGGCAAAATCAATACTAACCTCTTTGCTCGGAGAAAATTCAAGCAGCAGATTGCACAGCATGGAAGAGGCTACCACTAGAACTTCATCTGGTGCATTTTGTAAAACCTACGGAATTAAAAGGGAGGACACTATTAATGGCTTGGAACCCCGGAGAGGAGATCATAGTAACATCTGAATATAAAAACAAGACTTTCTTCTACTGGAAATGGACAGGAAAGAGCCAACCAACCCAGTGCTTTATTTATGGCCTGTTGGTGAGAAACTGCGCTGCAATCCCGATGGCATGTGGTTCAAATCCATCAGCTGCTCCCTGGGAGGAGGATGGGCAATCTCCTCCCATGCAATTAACAGTCTCTGAAAACCCGCTCGAGGGCCAGCTACTGGTTGGTTTGAGCTCGATGGTAAACAACAACAACAACAACAACAGGGCCCACATGTCTATTTTGTTGGATAAGTGGCAGCCTTACTTCCAGACAGGCGGCCAATCCAGGAAAAAGGAGAGAGACCATGGGGTGGGCCAGGACTTAGGGAGTCTGACAATAGTTCTGTGTGAAAAGTGGTCAAATTAGACCACTTACGAAGCCATCGAACTTGCCCCAGAGTCTAAGACTTTCTCCTGTGTCTCCACGAAGGCTTGTGTGAACGGGAGTCCAGATAACTGAATGTCACTGTCCTGTACCCGCGAACTGGAACTGATTCAGAGCTGACCCTTCAGTGGGTTTTCAGCGTCAGTAAATGACAAGCGAGGAGTCTGTCTATCTTTCACCTGGGAAGCAGCTGGTAGACTTGAACTGCCCGCCTCCTGCATTGGCAGTGTAAGTCCTTACCACTAGGTCATGAAAGCTCAAGCTACTCCTTAATAGGGTGTAATATGAGAACGAGTCATAAGGATCAGAACTCACAGAGCTCGGCTTGCACCTCTAACGCCTTCACTTACTAGACGCATAAACTCGGGCACACTTCTTAGCCTCTCTGAGCCTGTTTCTCCATCTATTAACTGAGAAAAACAGCACTTCCCCAATAAGACTTAAACTCAATTCACTGCTGCCCAATTGGCTCTGACATACAGACTCTCCAACGGGTGTCCGCGGCTGTAAATCCCAAGGGAAGGAGCCTGTCTGTTTCTCCTGTGGAGCAGCTGGCCGACTGCGACTGCCACAGTCTACACCCTACAGACCAGGTGGCCAGAACTACTAAAAAAGAGGAAGAGTCATCTGAAGCTTCGTCTGACATACTCTGGACATGCTGCAAGGAGGGACCAGTCCTCAGAGAGGGACGTCATGCTTTAGGAGAGTGGACAGACAGCACAGGAGAGGAAGACCCTTGATGAGGTGGATTGATTCAGTGACTGGGGTGCTGGGGGTGGGTGTGTTAGAGACAGATTGGCACAGGACAGTGCAGGAGTGCAGGGTTTAGGACTGTTGTACACTGGGTCGCTATGAGTCACAGGCGACTTGCCGGTTTGTAACAACAGTGAGTAATAAGAGGAGCAGCATAGCATGGAGGTTAAGAACCAAGACTTGTTGGGTTCAAATGCCAACTCAACCACTAAAGAGCAGAAAACCAAACTTACTGCCAGTGAGCTGAAGTTCAACCTCTAGTGACCCACAGGACTCCAGGGCGGGGAAGAATGGCCCAGGGGTACCAAGCTGCAGATCCTTACAGAAACAGCCTGTCACCTCTTCCTCTCACTGAGAGCCTAGTGGGCTTAATCCACCCGCTTTTTTGTTTGCAGCCTTAGTGCCTGCCCAGTGGACACCAGTGCCCACTCCAACACTAACTCACCCACTCAGTGGACACCAGTGCCCACCCCAGCACTAAGTCACCCGCTCAGTGGACACCAGTGTCCACCCCAGCACTAAGTTACCCGCTCAGTGGACACCAGTGTCCACCCCAGCACTAACTCACCCGCTCAATGGACACCAGTGCCCACCCCAGCACTAAGTCACCCGCTCAGTGGACACCAGTGTCCACCCCAGCACTAATGCATTCACACACAGCCTACTGATGCCGCGCCCTGGCAGCCCCCTTTTGTTCAAGAAACAAAATGACAACAAGGAATGAGAAATAGTCACTGAAGTTGATGTGCGCCCTGAGGCAGCCCCCTGGCAGGTTTATGGAGGCTGTAAACAGCATAGGAGCAGACAGCCCATCTCACTCCCACGTGGCTACCAGTGGATTCAAACCCATGGAGCTGCTGCCTTTGGGGGAGCAACACAGCTCCCTAAAGACCACACCACTGGCTTCAAAGTCTCCTGCTCATTTACTACTTGTTATTGGACGTTGTGCATCTATGACAACTTTGAAACAGGTCTCAGGCAGGATAATCCAATGGTCAGGGGCCCTTGCGGGCTGTGCCTGGGCCTAGGGTGCCCTCTGTCGGTCACCTCAAATGATACACTGGAGGTTGAGGCCACACTCAGAAAAGGGACGACAGCAGTCAGCAGGCCAAGGGCCACCTTCACCTCAGTTAGCTGTGGTATCTTGATCCAACCTCAGAGAGCACAGGGTGACCATGGCATGATGATGTGAGGTCAAAGGCAACAGGCAACATGGACCTCAAGCCTTGAAGACTCCACCGTGGAGGGGGAGGGATGGAGGGGCAGCAGAACCTGCTACGCCACGTGAAACTCCAGGTACGCTGCAGGCACCTGACATGCGAAACACCTGCGTTCGTGCCAGGCACGACCTTTACTCGCACGTAAACCAACGTGAGTGATGACCCTGTCTCTATTTACAACATAACAATCCTGCTGGCACTCGAGGAGTGGGTGACCTACTTCTCACTCCAGACCATCTCATTATCTGGCGTTTCTCGTCTATGACGAGAGTGAAAAACCTACTCTCTGACATTCTGTGTGTTAATGACAGACATCTGGCAGGAACACACACGAGGTGTGAGCTGGGAATTAGCTGGCGGTGACAGTTAAGGTGATGTGTCATTTGGACGAGGCCACTATTCTCAGTTGGTCGGCTGTTATGTAATGAAGTAATCAGGCTGTTATGTCACTATGTCATTGTCCATTTTGTGAACTGTGTTGACAGGTGAGAAACAGGGAACACTAGCTGTTATCAGAACCTGCCTTTCCCAGATTTAAAAAGAGTATCTTCATGAATAACACCAATTATAAGCAACAGTCCCTGTACCCAGTCTTCCCATCTGGGATCAAATCAGGATTAGAATTATTATTTCAAAAGCTAGCAGCTTTGTTCATGCACACCGGAAATGGACAGACGGACACACACACACCCCCGGAAATGGACAGACAGGGACGGGGACACACACACACACACACACACACACACACACACACACACACACAAATTAGAGCTAAATTATCTACTTTCTTCAGCTAAACCAATTCTGAAGTTCTTATGTTAAAAAAGCAGCAAAAAAAAAGCAAAAAGTGCAGAGAGCAAGAAATTTGCTACTATGTTTAGCTGAACCGATTCTGAAGTTCTTGAGTTTAAAAGTAGCAAGAATTATAAAGCACAAGAAACTCTTTCAAGATTTTGTTTTAGTCTTTCTGTGAATTGTTTAACTGGGTGATAAAAATCACATTATATGTAAGAGCAAATATTTGTGTCTAGTTCCATCTTAGACTCTGTTCTCTTTGTACTGCCTCCCTCCCACTTATGCTTTAAGACCATGCCACACTAGAAGCTTCTAAAGAGAAGTCCCTTTGCCTCCTCTAGTTTCAGGCCACTGCGTGTAATCTTTTTTAAGTGACTCTACTTGTCCACACTCTGAGATTCTTCGTGGGGTCCTGCCTACCTCCCTTTCCGTTAGCCTCTTTCAAATTCCTGGGATCGATTTCATCCTGGTCTCATGTATATCATGGTAAGACATATTATGAATTCTCAGGAACTATGGACTGAATAATAGGGAATATCATTTCCAAAATGATACTGTTCAAAATCACTAAGTGCACACCTACCAAGGCTTAAAAACTTAAAAAATAGGCTCTAGATCATAGGATTTTCTTTAAAATACTACTTATTGCTTGCAAAGACTAATTTGCTTTTATTTTATTTGCAAATTAAAAGATAGCATTTAAGATAAGCTTCTTAAAGGCATTTGCTCAGCACTGTGTCAGATATATCATGAAAAATTCAGACGTCAACATGTGACAATGACCAATGTTAATTTCACAAAAACAGAAACAAAAAATAAATTACAAATAAAAATTTTCATTAAAACCAGATGTCTATTCTCTCCAATGGTGGCTTTTCAACAGTTAAAAAGATAGGAAACAAAAAGAAAAATATCAATCAATATACATGTCCACAGCCGCTGAGTTGTGAGAAATAAAAGCATATGGTAGATAACCGTTACTTCCAAACTCTTAAAGCTACTTTAAATGTCCAACAGAATATGTTACACTGCACAGAGTTACATGTATCCAAGCACACAAAACCCCATGCTGCTCTGCCTCGGTTTGCATGACAGTCTGAGATGAACAACTACAGAAAATTCTCCTGATGAAATGAGAGTTGATTCTCAGGAAACAACAGAGTCCTTAAAAGAATTTTGACTGGAGAGGATCAGTATGTCAAAATCACACTTATTTTTTTTTTAAAAGGTACAATGTGAGAAGAGTGAGCAGAAAAAAAAAAAGTAACAAAAGAAAACAAGAGTCTTGAGAACTGCAGGAAAGGCAAATATGGCCCAGGAAATAGTCCAGGAATGACAGAAGGACAAATATTGTCATAAAGAATAACAAATATTTATTGTTTTGCATAAGAGATTGTGAATCTAGAAAGACCTCTGATTGCATACTTCGTAAGCATGGTCCCGACATGGAAAAGCAGTGATGTGGTCAGAGAGAGAGAGGAAGTGGCTGATTGCTTAGATTTAGGGCTCTTGCTAGGGTTCAAGAAACAAAATGACAACAAGGAATGAGAAATAGTCACTGAAGTTGATGTGCGTCCAATACGGTCAAAGAGAGACATCAGGAGCACAGCCAGTGTCTAGAGATGGGTCAAGCTGAACGTCATGGATTGCTCAGGCAGGTCCCATGGGAAAGGGAAGAAATGAAACTTGTATTTTCCTAGTCCGCCTCCCAAGGCCATGTCTTCTTAATTTTCAGGCTTGGCCCACTGGTGCCACCCTAACAGTTCATGGATCAATACTGTCCTTCACTGCACCGATGCACATTTCTTCCCAGACTCCCTGCCAACACCTTGTTCAGGACCTTAATCACATAAATGATGCTCTCTAGGAAACGGACTTTGTATGAGATGGGTCAACCTCAGCGTGTCAGCACTGAGTCTGTCCCGGGCTCCTGGAGTGCGCGCACGTACACACACACACACACACACACACACACACACACACACACACTCTCTTACTTCTATTATAAAAACATCCCCATCATTTCCTCTGTGTACTAGATACATCATGTTTCTGCTCATGCTGGTTCCCTCCCTGGCACCTCTTTCTGCATACCCTTAGTTTTCAAAGCCGAACTGACAGTCTTTCTGCCTCAAGGCTCCGCTGACTCTTGGTTGCCTCCTCTTCCTCCAAGACAAAAAGATGGACAGGCAGAGTGTTCCTTCGAAATAAGGATCACGAGACTGTCTCATTGTCCTCTGAACATGTTATCAGAAGGGACCAGTCCTGAGAGAAAGACAGCGTGCTCAACAGAAGGTCAGCGAGAAAGAAGAAGATCTTGAGTGGGCACTAATACAAAGGCTGTGATAAGGGCTCAAATGCAGCCGTGACTGAGAGTAACGCAGACTGGACAGTATCTGGTTTTTCTAAACCAAGGGTCACTATACCTAGAATCAGAAATGACCTGATGGAAGCTAACAACACAGTAACTGGGTGATTCAGTGACAGAATTCTTGGCAGATCAAGGTTTGAATCCCAGCAATGGACTTCACGTACAGTTGTTGTTGTTGTTAAGTGCCGTAGAGTCGTAGGCGACTCATAGCAACCCTATGAACAAAAGTCCTTTGACACCTGTGTGACTTTCATCCTTTCTCCAGGTTCATACGGTTTCCGGAAGCAAGCTATTTACAGAAGTGGGTGCCACTACTGCTTCCAAGCTTGTTTTAACTGGGGAGCTCCACCCAACACCGTCCACCATAGGTAACCATTCTCACATTTGACATATCTGTGTCACAGTGTTCTGATTCACAGCAACCACAAGCTACCTCTGTACAGCAAGTGGACACACCAGGGGTATACGACCTAGAAGAATGTTTGACTAAAAACAATGAAAAACAGGCCTGAGGGCCGCGAATCAGTCAGTTCCCATTAGTTTATGAGTGGACGTGTGCTCCCAGCTAGGATACTGGACACGTTTCAGGGAAGCTTCCAGACTAAAATGGACTAGTGGGAAAGGCCTAGTGATGTACTTGTAAAAGTCAGCCAATGAAAACTCTATGGATAAGAAGGGTTTAAGCTACAACGATTATGGTAAATGGGGCGGGACCACACAGCATTCTGTTTTGTGCACTGAGCTGCTTGAGTCTGGGGCCGATTCAGTGGTAGGTAATAAAACCAAGAACTCTCATGGCAGCCTTTCGGCGGAGGGCAAGGATCTGCAGAATGGTATTTCTGGTAGTCCCACTTCGCGGGAAGGCTTTGCTGGGTACATAGTCATCTACTACTCACAGTGACCTTATGAACACAGATCTGAACCTTGCCTGGTCCTTGTACACCCTCAGGCTCTGTCATGTTCCAGCCCACTGTGGGAGTCACTGGGTCAATCCATCTTGGAAGGTCTTCCTCTCTTTCTCTGACCCTCCACCCTTCCCAGCATGATGTCTCTCTCCAAAGGGTCCCCCTTGAGAATAGGCCTAAGGTGACAGAGACAGAGCTTTACCACCCTGGTCTCTAAGAAGCACTCTGGCTGCACTTCCCTTAAGGTAAGTTTGTTTGTTCCTTTGGTAATCCATGGTATATTCAAGACTTTTCACAAATACCCCACTTTAAAGGCATTAGTTCTTCGACCTTCACTGTCCAATTGTGAGATGCATAGGAAGCAACGAAGACGACCATGGCGTGGGCCAGGTGCGCCTTAGTCTTTCACACCACACTCTTGCTCTTTAGGATTTTGCAGAGGTCCATGACAGCAGATTTCCCCAAGGCAAAACACCTTCTGGTTTCCTGACTGCTGCTACTGTAGGTGTTGGCTGGGGATTCAAACCACTCACATTTTTGTTGGCAGCCCAACTTCCTACCTACACCACCAGAGCTCCCTAAAACAAAGCACA